ATATATATATATATTTATACATTATATAGCGAGAGACACATCTGAGGCGTGGGCTAAAAAATGCAAAGGTGTCATTACTCCCATACATATTTTTTTTTATATATATATATACAATGTATGTACATACTTTGTATTACCAACAGTTTATATATATGTATATATAAGTACCGGGTGAATCGCAACAGCTGCTGTAACATCGTGTAAATATCCTCCTAATAATCACCATACAACCTTGATTCAAATTGCCAACATCATGTGTCTTGTGAATGAGGTCATTAACGTAAATCGAAAATCAATCAACACTGCAATCGATGCATTTATTGACATTTTTATACTCTCTAAATTTTAATTAGTAAGAATTCATTCATTAATTCCTAGTAGAAATTGTCACTAATTTTTAGTAAAATACTACTATATGATTTAGTAAACATTATTTTTTTTTTTTTTTACTAAAGTTTAAAAGTGAAAAATGACTAAATATTAGTAGAAATTTATGATACGTTCAGTCAATACCTCCACAAATGAATTTCAAAAAAGAAATTATGTCATAATTTCAAGATAATATGGGGCAAATTTTAGCCGCGAGAATTAATTTTTTTGATCCTTTATTTTTTCAAAAAATCAATTTTTAGATGGAACTGCTAAATGACAATTCAGATAGCACCTCCAATATATAATTAAAAAAAAAAACATCATTTCAGGCTGACAAAATTTTGTCCTACTTCAAAACCAAGAACCCACTAAAGTTAATTTTTTAGAATTATATGATTTAATAGAATTTTATTCTGTAGAATATTATTTTTGCAGAATAGTAATTTAAAAGAATCTTAATTTTGTAGAAAAAACATTGTAAAAATTTTAATTTTACAGAATACAGTAAATCCTCGTTAACACGAACTCAGATTAAACGAACACCCGGTTAATACGAACAAAAATTTCAGTCCTGGCAAAGCCCTATATGTTAAGTTAATAATAATGCTAATCTCGATAACACGAATTTTTTTAACACGAACAGGCAAATTCATTTGTTCGAATTTTCATTCTTTAAAATTTCTATTTAACCGATTATCAAATATACTGCAAAATTGGTATTTAGACGACAATTAATTAGTCAGAAATTCAATTTGATCGAATTTAAATTCATGCGAAACGTTTTTTCGTGGAATATTAGTTTTGCAGAAATAGTAATTCAAAAGAATTTTAATTATACAGAAAGAAGATTAGAAAGAATATATTAATTTAAAAAAATATTCATCTGTTCGAATATATTAATTTTACAGAAAATGCGAATGATCGAAAATCAATTTGAAAGAATTATATTTTGAGATTAAGTTTAAAATTGATTAATCACAATTTTTGTGATAATTTCTGCGAGCAAATTTAAAAATCGCGCCAAAATAGTTTGGTCAAATTGATTTTCGACATCTTATGTATAAAATTAATATTCGAACAGATGAATATAGTCTATTAAATTAATATTCTTTCTAATTGAGATTCTATCAAATTGAATTTCTGGCTAATTAATTTTCGTCTAAATGAAAATTCTGTAACTGTCAGCAATCATCGCTGTACTAATATGTTAAATTTTTAACCGGTCGGTAATATAGAAAGCTATAAAAAATTTCATTTCCAAATTTGACAAAAATAAGTGTGGCATCGAAATTAAACCTAAAGTAATCGAATAACACAAAAATCTTGAAAATATAACTTAGTTTTCGAGTTCTGACCGTCGATATGAATGCCAATTTTTCTAACTGACTTCCTAGACCTAGTAAGACGTTGTCACGTCAAAAAATACAACTAAAATTTTTTATAATAAAATTTTTCCAATAAATTAAAATATTTACCTTAATAGCGAATTTTCAGCTTCAAGAAGATTCTTTCAAACTAAATAGTCCTCGGAGATCCCTACTTTCAAGTTAAATTTCCATTCAGAAAATGTGAAAAATAACCGTAAAAATAAATCGAATTCTAAAATCCTTTTTTACTTTTGCCCTTATCTTTGAATCTGCAAAAAGAAAAATTAAAATACTATTAAAATACAGCATCGGAAAAGTATACAAAATCTGGTTCTTGGTTCTGAAGTAGACCAAAATTTTGTCGACCTTTGTTCTTTTTAATATTATACTTATAGTTATAAAATTTTTTTTCGTTACCCACATGTATGGTCGCATAATATACAATGAAAATTTTAAGTATACAATAAATAAATAAACAAACGAAAATCAGAAAATACAGTTTCATTACAAAAAATTAATTTACTGTTAAGACAAAGGAAAAGTGTATTTATAATGAATATAATTAATCGAAATGTAAACGTATAGGGAAAAACGTAATCAAATCGTTTATTCATAATGTCAGACACGCAGCCAACTTGTATACGCGGAAAGGGGAAAGATCATTCTAGACATATGACATTTTTGATAAGAATCAAATCTTATTCTAACGAAATCGAATATTTTTGTTGTATTTCATTATTATTTCGAATATACATATATGTATATATATATATATATATATATATTTATCAATGTACAATTGGTCGTCGCTTAGGGTTGTCGCACATATAGTTTTGAAAATACAAAAACTGGTTTCTGGGCACGGTTTATTCTCGTGTGAATGTTGTGTGCCCCCATTGGCATTCCTCGTGCATCTTGCGCGCGTCCAAGGACTCACGTTCAAAATGCCATTAGATCTTCACAAAACTTAAAGATAACCAATATTTATGTCCTCTTCACCCAACTTGGCCATAAAATCAATGAGGAATTACATCGATCTTTGACCAATGATCTTTTAATCATTATATATTACATTGCAACTCCAAATAGTATAATATGCATCTTTTTTCTAAATCTGCACATTCATTATTAGGTATACATATCTGTTTTGTATACATTTTTTCAAACCAAAGAAAAAGGGGCAAAGTACCATTTTTTCAGTAATTCTTTTAATATATACACATTGTTCTTACTTTATTTTTCTATATATAATATTCGCATTATTTCCTAATGAAGAAAATTGCATATATAATGTTTATATGCTTGTTTATATTTTGTAACCATAAAGGCGTCAGTTTCACTTATTTTTATACCCCTTTAGTCAACATTTTTTTTTCATTCTTTGGACACTCTCGCTTTCGTGACAGAGTATAAGTTATGTTACTTCCTTTTTTTTTCGCATCTTGCGGTCCAACCGAATTATCTTCATGCGATACGCTTTCGGTTGTTTACGAAAACTTGAATATATTTATATATATATATATATACATTTTATATTCAAATTATAAACTATCATTATTATTAAAAAAAAAAACAATTTCGATTTAATTGTTATTAAATTTTTTTAATTTATAAAAATTGTATTAAGAATATTATTTTGAAAAAAGTAATTATATTTATGTATAATATTTATATTTAATATTTTCATTTATATTTTCAAATTTATAACTATATAATATGTTATGTACAATAATAGATAAATAATTTCTGGAGCTTTTAATATATATTATATTTTATAGCTTGCAGGACGTTAAATTTTGCAGAGATGAGAATTTTCTTATAATATTTCTGTCAAGTAAAATAATATTTATAACACGAAGCTTTTGCGAAGTGCTGCAAAATGAAATTCAATTTAATTTCACATATCAGGAACTATAATGTTCCTTCCAATGACAATGTGAGATAAATTAAATTTTATTTGAAACGCAAGACCATAACAATTTTTATGTTATTATGTTTTAGTTTGCATTTTAATAAAATCAAATTCAATTTTTTATTTTTATTCTTCGCTTAACGGATCTTATTTTTTGTATCTTTTCTAACTTCCTGTACTTTTTTCTACTCCTACTTTTGTTTCCACGCTTCTTCTTCTTCTTCTACTACTTCTATTTTAAATTCAAAATCTACATTTTCTTCTACCTCAACTTTTTCTTAGAATCGATTTCGGTAAAGTTCACAACATTGTAATCAACAATTTCAAAGAAAAGACATTTTTTCATGCAAATTATTATTAGTTTTTCATTGAAAAACGATTTTTCCAATGCTTCTTGATTATAACAATTAAGTATATTAAAAGTAAAAATTGTGCAGGTATATCATTTTCTGCTTGACAATTTTTTTTTTTTTTTTTTTTTTTGTTTCAATCTTTATAGCCACAAACGTTGTGAACTTCACCGATGTCTTTTGCTTAATATGAAAAATTTAGTTTTGTCAACAAAAATATTTTTTAATAACAAAAAAATCATTTCGAATCTAATAACATTTAAAATCCACCAAATAAAATTGATTCAAAGAAAAAGAAGAAAAGTGAAGAAACCAAATTTTTATCGAAAACAAAAAGATGACTTGTACAAAATATTTCTTCAATTTCTCTAAAACGTTATCAAACGTTTTATAAATATATAATAAATAGAAAACTCATATAAAGCTTAAAGCCTTATTGTTTCTTTTCTAAAAGAAAGAAAATGCTACATCCTTGAAATAAATAACTATATTATAAATATCCTTAGACACACAAATCCTCTCAAGTTGATCCTCATCATCAAAATCTCAATTTCCTCAAGAGAACTCCATTAAAATTATATTCTTGGACCATTTCCAACATTCTATATTTTCAAATCCATCAATTTTTCATCATACAAAACTTCTTTTTAAAAAAAAAATAACCATCAATCTTCATGTGTTGAGTTCCAATTGAAACGGAAGATATATTCAATCAAAGAACAAAGACTCATTGAAAATGAAAATGACACGAAACAAAAATTTGGATCTCAAATTATATGTATATAGTGAAAAGAAGAGTGTGATGAAGCTTTCTAATTTCCTATTGCGGGACTTTTTGGTATATGGTTATAACTTTCCCATATGATTTTCAGTTTTTTTTTTCTTCTTTTTTTTTTTTTTTTTTTTTAATGAAGATCTTTATTCTTTAGATATGTATTATTTATAATATATTACTCGAGATAGGTGTCAGCACCATCCGGAAGGTGAAAGTCTTCCACAAGGAATCGGTCGAAGGAGTGGTGGTGCACATATAGAGGGGCGAGAGGGCGCGGCTTGTCCAGACGCAATCTGTCCCGCCGACGACGATCATGTCGCCGAAGTTGATATTTCTCTTTGGATTCATCTGTCTACTTGCCGGTAAGTACAAAAATATCTTGACTTACCGCGTGAATCGTTCGAAAGTTGAATCCACTCACATCGCTCTCCTTTTGACCTTTGACCCCTCTCCACACTTTGATTGCGCTACCACCACCTTTACGAACCCCCCGCGAACCATCCACTGTTTACAATCATGATCCTTTGATATTGAATAGTGATCTTTTTATGCGGATTTTCAAATATTACTTTTTTTTTATAATCTTCAAACTATTTTTTTTATTGAATTAAAAAAAAATATTTTTTCTTATTTTTCATTTGTTAAATTAATTTTGTTTTTCAATAATAATCTTCTGATTCTTAATATTGATTTAAAATCAAAACCTGTATTTATTTGGTTTTTTTTTTTTTTTTTGAAAATTTCATTTGTTTTGCAATAATTTTTTATCTTTTGATAATTTATTGATTTTCGATTTTTTGATGATTCGATGTGATCCTCAATTGGAATTTTTTATAATGAGATCTCTTCATTTTGATTTTTTTGCTTCTTAATATAAAGAAAACAAAATTTATTTTATTTAAATAATTCGATTACTTGACTATTATATCAAATAAATATTTATTTATGAATAATTATTATTTGAATCATTTAAATAATATTTGTTTCAAATGCAGAAATTATTGGTTCAAATACAGTTTATTTAATTTAAATAAACATTATTTGGTTCAAGTAAATATTTGATAATAGTCAAGTAATCGATAATTTGAATGAAATTTTTTTTTGAATATAACGTTAAAGTTACAATTTGTATATATATAAAACAGTATATAATAATTTAGATAATATTAAATTTAACATTAATCTGAAGTATAATATGAATTACGTTGTAAAGTATTAAAAACAGTAATAACTTGTCATATAAAAAAAGAATAAACATTTATCATAAATGATATTGAAAAATTATATATCTTTTCATAAACAGTCTCGATATACTCAATATTTTCTTCACAATTGTTAAATTTAATCGACAATAGTCAAGATCACTTCTTTGTGATATAAATTTTGTTTATATAATTATATGAAGAAGATGGATTTTCTTTTACATATATTTGACTACTTTTTTAGTTTATCATCCTTCCTTATTAAAATAAAAGAAGAAATTCTCTTAAAATCATAAAAATTCTTCAAAATTTGTGAATTTTATCTTAAATGAAATTATAATTCTATATACCAACATGTTCATTATTCATTTTTCTCTTTAAAAAATTTAGACTGTTGCTCGAGAAATTAATTCCGTGTTTAAAAAAATAAAAAATAAGGATAAAATTTTAATTATAGGTCAAGGTTTGAGAACACTATTTTATAAGTATATTCAACAAAAAGTATAATAAATCTTTTCCAATTCAGGTTCAATTATTCGGATATTGTTTTTCATCTTCAAAATAAACGATGATAGAAATTCATCATCAATGAATAATCATTGTTATTTGTTATAAAGTCAAACTATATTTGCAGTTTCCATTGTTGGTTCATTTGAAATTTTGTTAATTGTTCTTTTCAATTTTAATAATTATTTATTCGATTTAATTAATTATTAGGATTGATTATTAAGATTTATTACTAATTAGGACTAATTGTTTATTATAATGATCAATTTATTATTAGAATAAATTAATTATTGCAATTAATTAATAATTAGAATTACTTTATAATTATGATTAATTAATTATTAGAAATATTTAATTATTACGATTAATTCAATATTGAAATCAATTAGGATTCAATCATTATTAAGATTACTTAATGTTTGCGTTTATTATTTATTTATTTATTATTGGATTTAATTAATAATTGGGATTAAATTATTATTAAGATTAATTAATGTTTGTCCTTAATAAATCATTAGGATTATTTAATATTTGTCATTAATTAATTATTACAGAATTAATAAATAATTACAATTCATTTATTTTTCGGATTAATTAATTATTTATTGATAATTAAAATATCCGTTTATAGTTATTTTTATTATTACTTATAAATCGTTTAATGATAATATTGACTAATATGTCTTAAATTGATTGAGTTTTCAACTGTTTATTTTTTTTCATCTTCATTGATCTCTTGAAGTTAAAATTCTAAATTCTTCTTCTTCTTCTTGACTTAATAATTCTTTGAAATTAACTGATTTTTTTATCTTTTTCTTTTCCATATTTTTTTCTCCTGTATAAAATTTCTAAAATTATTCATTTTTTTTTTTTTTTAATGAAGTTTTTCTAATGTTTTTTGGAGTGTTTTCTTTATCATGTTCTAATTTTTTTCTTCTTCCTCTTTTTATTATTTTTCTTTGCCTTTGTTGAATTTCTTAATTGATCCTTTCGTGTTATAAGCTAATCAAAATTTTCAATATTTCATTGAATCATTTCAAGGTTGATTAAGAACATTGTTTTGCAAAATTAAATTATATTTTATTTAAAACTACTTTTCTTGTGGATTGGAAATTTTCTTCATACAATTAATATTCTATTTTTTCTTTTTATCCTTCTTGTTCTTGTTTTTCTTCTTCTTCTTCTTTGAAAAAATTCTTCATCTAGAAGTATCACTTTCGTTCTAGGGTATTGAAACTACAATATGACTGTTATCAGATTGCAATCCTGACTCCTTAGCAAAAATATAAGATAACTACGAGCGGCGCGCGCGCGTTATAATCGCGGAATTCATCATTCACCGATTTCCGCGTGAATGGAAAAAATCTCGCGAGACAAAGAATGATTAAAAATAAATATCAATTTATTTATATTATATATTTACTAAAATAGGAATTACCTTTTTCGAGGATAGCAAGATGGAAAGACCGAGAGAGAACCTACTTTAGAGAACCACTGTTGCTTTCCCCCCTGTTGCCCTGACATTTCCAAGACTTTCTACTTCTATGGGAGTTCGGTGACCTCCGCGTTCCTCTCTTACGTCTTATTTGCAAATCTATGCATATTTCTTATTTTTCAATGCTATCCTCTCGCTTATAAACATTTGTCAAATCATATTATTCTTTTCCTTGTGAAAAAAATCCTTGAATTCACTATATGTATATATATAGGTCATCAAAACCTCTTGCACTTTCTCAACTTTATACTTTATGATTATTATTTGTATACGAGTTTCAAGTATCACTATCTATATTGTTAAAAAAAATATGATCAAAAAATTTTTAATGTTCATGCGAACGAAAAAAAAAGTTTCTATAATAAAAAATTTTCAATCACGTCCCAAAATATATAACAAAATCCATTAAAATAGTCGCTAATTTAATTTCTGAAGTAGTATTTCTAAAATTCAAAATGGAGGATCCAATATGGCGGACTTGAGGGATTTATAATTGATTTAAAAAACTTTCCCCGTACTCTCTAAAATTTTAATTAGTTAAAAATAATTAATTTAATAGTAGAAAGTCAGTTACTGATTCAAATAACAATATTTCTACTAATCAATTAGTTAAAAATTATCTATTAGTTAAATTCACTTTTAGGTTATGACAAAATAACTAAAATTTCTGATAACCAATGTCCACCATTTTGAATTTTTGAAAATCTTTCAATAAAATTGACATCACCCACACAAGAAACATTTAAATTAAGTGAAACCATTCAAAAATAGTTTCGACACTTCTTTTTGTTATGTTCTCCATTTTCAATTTGTTTCTATATAATTTTTTGATTTTTCATTTTCTTACTTTTATTGTTTCTATTTTACTGCAATATTTCAATTTTTCTTCTATTTCTTCATTTTAAAAATTAATCATTGATAAAAAAACCAAAACAATAAATAATATAAATTATTAAATTATTCCATAATTATTAAATAATAATTTATTAATTAACTTTTTTTCAATTGAGTCGGTTTTATACATAAAACAATTTTTAAATTTTACGTAGGGCATGAAGAATCCCTTTGTTTTTATTTTAAAAAAAATTTCGGAATAATTTAATATATATAATTAATTATCCTATTTAGGTAAATAATTAAATATTGATTATTATTGTAGATTCTAATGAAATTTTTATTAAATTTTTAGTGACAGTAAGGGCTCAGGATGATGATGGGGGCGAAGGTGGAGAAGCATCAGCAGAAGAACTTTGTCATGACAGGCCAGGGGATGAATACTTTCGGCTAAGCACAGATGGAGATTGTCGAGATGTTGTGAGGTAAGTTTGAATAAATTTTATAGTGTACTATATATAAACTGAAATATCACTCAAGCCTGACTTGCATATATTGTGTCCCAAATTGCCTTAAAAGTAGACTTCAATTTCTCCTACAAAGTGAAAGAAAATATATGTATATTAGAACTATATTAGCTAATCTAAACTGTTTAACTTTCATTAGAGATTTTGAAATCTCAAACTTAGATCGTTTTTTTTTTTTTTTTTATTACTTTCTTATCTTTTTTAGTGTTTCATATTTAAGTTTCCTTCTTTCATTCTTTTTTATCTTCCTCTTCTTATCCTTTTTATTTTCTTAAAATTCTTTGTTGTATTTTTTTTATTTAAATTTTATTATAATTAAATTTCAGTCATAAAATTAATTTCTATTTAAATATATCCTTTTTCTTTATTTTATTCCAGTCTTTTGCGATATTTTTTAACATATTATATATATATATATTTATTTAATAAACGAATTTTAATTTAAAAAGAATATTTTGGCTCCTTCTTAAGGACATGTGAATATTTTTAAGGGCATAAAAAAATATATTCTTATAATTTAAGAAATTTATTGTTATTTAAAGAATGTTATATTTTAAACTATAAGAATAATTTTAATAAATAACAATAAATTTAATTATTTAATTTTTTTATTAAATAGAAGCCAATGTATTCTAAATTAAGAAATTTTTCAGTCTTTAGATTTTTTTTTTTTTTGAAAATTGATAAAATTTTATTCTCATTTAGAAAAGAAGGGAAAAAAAAATTAAATTTGATTCATGGAATTGCAATCAGAGTTCTTAAATTTAAAAAAATCTCGTAACACTTGGATGTAAGCATTTTCCATTTAACCGAAGTCACGTGAAATTATAATTTCACCGTATAGTTTATATAGTTTGAAAGCGGTAATCCTTACATAAAGTAATAACTATAGGCGAAATTCAGTTGATATAATCGAACTCTATTATAAAATTACTAAAACTCTCTTAACTGGTTTTACGCGCATACATTTTTCATATAGTTTTCTGTTTTCAAGATTTCCTTTCAAATTTTGGTTTTAAAACAATTCCTTTAAAGAAAATATTCGCCCAATTAATTAAAATTTATAATTATTTCAGGTTTTTAATATATGTAATTCAAATTTTATTATAATATCAATGACAAAATAGTGACACGTATTTTTAGAAAACCAGTCTCAGTCTTTCCTTTTAATTTTTCTTTATCAAAATTCATACGTCTTTTATTATTTTTTTGCCTTATTTTAATATTAATTTGACTTCAAAAAAAAAAAAAAAACGAAAAAAAAAAACGAAAAATGAGATTAATTTCTTTAAAATTTATTTATAAAACTAAATATAATTTATTTGAGTTAAATAAACATAATATTTATCTCGAAGCTAAATAACTATTTACAGTGTATTTTATATATTTATACACTGAAAGAAAATTCATACTACTAAGTATTAAACTCATATTAGAGTTTAATATAAATGTTACAATTTAGGGAAAAAGTGCACCTATACTGATTACTATTACAGTTTTTATGAAAATATATAATGAATTTAAGAGTAACTATTATTTTAAGAAATAAAAATTAGTATATTTATTTTAAAAATTAGTATTTTCTTTATGAATTCACAGAATACGAAATATTATAATAAATAATTTCACAAAATAGTAAGAAAAATAACATATATCCGTATACTTATTTCACATTTTGTAAAACTTTATATTAAAAGTCACGGATTTTCCCGAGAGACTACGAATTTAACCGAAGTTCTGTCTGTTTGCGGCTTCGTGTCCTACTCGAACTTCTACGACTTGATCCGATTTGATCCGATTTTCGAAAGTGTTGTTAACCAGCAGAACGTACCTATCAACTGTCAACACACGTGTTTCAAATGTTTATAGTGCCACAGAAAACATTTATAATTATTAAATTTATTATTATTTTTATTAATTATTATTTTTTGATGTCATCTTTACAATTATTTGATTTTTATTTGCAATAAAAATTTTTATAACAATCATAATTTTTAATCTGAAAAAAAAGAAAAATCTATATAAACAATTAATAATAAAAATGAACCCAGCGTAACCTCTATAAAATTACACCATTGGCACTAGTAAACTATTTTTTATTATTAAGTTATTATAAGTAAACTTCTTTCTCGCAAGTGGTAAAAATATTCAGTAGTTAGTATATAAGAAAACGATATATGCCGACCCCCAGCGAAATTTATCGTTATGCGTATAGAATTGTAAGTGTAGGTTTCGTTGCGATCGTGTAATGTCTATGTATAAGCGAAATGAACGTGCGTGTTCATTAGTATGTGTGTTAACCTGTATCGTAAGTGTGAATGTGTTGTTCCTAGTCTCACTCCTCTTCCTCCCGAGAATTAACGGAAACGTCCGAGTTTCCACTTTTTTTCCCTTTTCTTCCGACATTCTGAATTTTTCGTATAAAGTTTTACAAATATTAGAACGCTACATTCCATATAATGCAACAACTCTATGAGAATTTAATATAATATTTTCAAATATTGGTAATCTTTTTACGTTTTTTCTACAATAATTATTAATATTTGAAAAAAGATTTTAAGCTGGAACTTTAATATAAAGTATATTGAATTTTAATAAAAAGTACACTTTTCCCTAAATTCTAAAAGAATATATTAAAATGTAATACGCATTTTGTTATTTTTTCCTATGAAATTTCTTTCAGTGTATATTTACTATTTATATTTTGTTTTGTACAAATAAAATTTTTATTGGAACTAAATAAATTTTATTTGAAATATATATTTATTTTAAGACATATATATGATTAAGTGAATCTAACGGCAGTTGACATGAAAAATATGATAATAACGGTAAAAAGATGTAATCATTAAAGAAAGAAAAAAGAAAAAAAAACACATGAGGAAAAGTAATCAGGATGCAATTCTTTTAGAATATAAGGATATTTAGGTTCAAGGCGATCGACTTTTAGAACAAAGTCGAGATCGATGTTAGATGAGTCTCCCCAATGACTCAGGTACAAGGTCTCTCAATAGACTTTTAAAATAAAATAACAATGTAATAAAAAAAAAAAAAAAAAACCTTCAATGAAATTAAAATGAAAATTTAAGAGAACACGAGAAAGTATACAAAAATGTTAATAACGAGATAAAAACACTTTAAAAAAAATTAACATATGAAATTTAGTATTATAAATTATTATTAAATAAATGTAAAAAATAACTTCTCTTTTGAAACATTTTTTTAAATAGTATTTAGAAAGAATAGCAATTTAGAATTATCTTTAAATAAAAATAGAATAAAAATTTAGAAATATTATCTTATTTTATGAGAGGAAAAATAAATTGAGGTTCAGAATCTTAATTAGAAAAAAGCAGTAAAAAGTTTATCTTCTCTTTTGTATAGATTTTCAATTTTGTTCTCTGAAAATAACGCTTCCATTTCTATATACCGGATATAGCGTCAAGAAACGGATATGATACGCTTTGCATATATATATATATATATATATATATATATATATATATATATATATATATATATATATATATATATATTACTGATATTTATTTAAATAACAAAATCAAATATTATTTTCTTCATTCTTTTAAATTTCAAAGAATTTATTTCAAAATTTTCAAAATATTTTTCATTATCTTTTTTCATTTTTCTATTTTATCTTCACCTTCAATTTTATTTCCATTTTATCTTTGTATTATTTCAATTTTTATTTCTTTTTACTATCTGTTTTTAATTTTCCTAAATCGTAAAAATCATTTTTAAAAAATCCATTAAAAAATTGAATGTATATTTCTGACTGTGGGATACTTTGTAAAAAAATTTTAATTTTTTATCGACATTAAAAAAACAAACAAAATTTCCTTGTTTTAACTAATTCGAAGGTAACTTGATACAATAAAAATAACTTTTGAAACTCGTCTAGAGCCCTTGATTTCAATAAAAATGTAATTTTCTGTGAGATGAAGTCATCAGTCAAGAAGAAAATATATCGACTCGGTTCAAAATCTAAAACCAATACGTTTCCAATTTCCTAAATGTGCTTCCAATATCTTAGGGATGCTTTGATCATTTTCATTCCTCTTTCTATATGTTTATATATAAACAGGGTGTTCAAAATGTAAAGAGGATTGATTTAATTCAGAAAATAATTTTAAAATTATTCCACAAATTATATATAATTTGTTATAACTATCAGAGAAGAAATATATTTATTTTATTTCAAATAAATTTTATTTAACGCCAATTAATATTTCATTTGCCCAAATAATAAAATTTTTATATAAAATTTTTATTCAAAAAATAATAATGAATCCGATTAAATGGAAATTTAGCTAAATAAAAATTTAGTCAAATGAAAATTGAAACAAATAGAAATTTCATTATAATTATAGCAAGATTTAGATTTAATCGAGGTTTTATCGTATTCAAAATTTTTTTTTTACTTTTTAAAATTTATATATTATTTATTACTTCAAGAACTCTGATTTTTTCGTTATTTTCTTTATTTATAATAAAATAATTTTTCAAATAATAGAAAAAAAAATGATTAAATTTCCATGAACTAAATTTATAATTTTCTATTTCCAAACTGAAAAAAAATATGATAATATATTAATTATTATATGAATGAAAGGTGAAATTTACCATATAATAAACGAAATAGTAAAGGTAAGAGTTATGGACTTTAGGTGCGACAAAGCATCTGAGATTGGAATAACGAGGCTGGCCACAGTGAAGTGTCCAACTGGTCTTGCTTTTGATATTGACAGGCAGACTTGTGACTGGAAGACCAACGTCAAGAACTGCGATCAACTTGAAAGTAAGAAGAATTATCATTATTTTGTTAATTAAGCTCCTGCCTTTTCCCCCTTCAGGTGTACAAAATCCGGCCTGAAGCCAATCACGTGTCCCAGTGGATTGGCCTTTGATTTGGACAAACAAACCTGCGACTGGAAGGGCAAGGTCACCAACTGTGACAAGCTCGAGAGTAAGTGACGCACGCGGGGGAACAAAAAAAAAAACCGGCCCTCGTTCTTCAGGTCCTCTTTTATTCGTCTTTTATAGACTCTATTTTTAAAAATGACTTCCCAATCACTTCCGAATTTTACCCTTCGTCCTTTTTTTTTTTTACAAACATCAACATAACAAAGTTTTCATTATTTTATGAAAAATAATTTCTCACTTTTTCTTTACAATAATTTACTATTATTAATAATATAATAATAATAATATTAATAGTGATAATAAATAAAATTTTATTATATTTTATAAAAAATTTGAGTATTAAATTGAAGTAAAAGACACTATTTAATGAAATTAAAAAAATAATAAAAAAAAAAAATTCGAATCATAAACCTCATTATTGTCCAGAGAAAAGTACTTTATTTTTGTGCTATTCTTGGAAATGTAATCAATTTGTGCTTTATTAAAAAAAAAAAATGAAGTCTCCGATGGAGTATTGATTATTTTAATAATAATAATAATATATTTAAAGGGGATAGAAAGAAAAATTAATTGAAAAAAAAAGACGAATTCGTGAATTGGAAATGTCATTTAAATAATAGAAACTGAAAGAAAAGAAAGAAAGAGAGAGGATCGGAAAATTCGGTCCGAAAATTTTATAGACTCGCGCCGTAGCACGCACATAAACGATACCCGACTAACTTCACAGACATCCTAAAAAGGATACGCGTTGGCGACGAGGAAATTAAAAATGCAAATTTAATCCTCGACACTTCGCGATCCTTTTGTAAAATTTCTAAATGGCTTTCCACCAAGGTACTATAAGTTCTATTTTGGCTTTGAGGAAAACAAAAACTCACACAACTAACTAATTAATAATGCACTTTATGCTTCTCCTCGGGTTGGCTTTTTTTTAAATTTCTTATACGAGAATGTTTTTTAGACTAACTGTATATATATATATATATATATATATATATATATATACTCGATTTTCTAAACTAATTCACAAAATTTTCTATATACAAACTAATTTGATAAGTTAAAATTTACTATTTTTAAAATAATGTTTCTGGCATAAAAGAAATAAATTTATTTTTATTTTTAAATCTTATTTTTAAAAATTATTTAATTATTAAAAATAAATATCAATTTTTATTATTAATAAATAATAATGTATAAATAACTATTTTTTATTTCTTTTTTCAATGAAAATTATATATTTTTTATTTATATAATTGAAATTTATATTATAGCTATAATTAAAAAAAAAAAAAAAAAAAATGTTAAAAATGTTGCAATAAAACTAATAATTTTCATAATTTTTCATATTTTTTTCTTTTATAGAAACTTTATGATTTTTAAATGAATATCACTGGGTGATGGGAAAAAATTACTATATATAGTTTTATCACTATTTTACAATATTATATTTGACTTTTTTCTGGACTTGGCAAAAATTACACATTGTTAATTAACTTCTATTCATTTTCACTTGTTTACTCTGTATATACTTTTACATTATCGTTATATATATATCTTTATTGTAAACTTGCGTGAAAGTGAGTCTGGTTGCCTATAATCCGGCTATAAATTTTTATATATGTACATACAGTAATACTTTTTAGAATCTTCTAAATTTTCTATCATCACACAATTATTCCACCAATAATTATGTAATTTTTAAACTCGCAGTATTTTATAAAATTGCCAAAAAAACAGAATAAATTTTCTTCTCCTTAATTTTCAAAAAAAAAAAAAAAATCTCACTCTATATAACGTATCAACCAAAAATCTCTTTGTATCACTCTTTTCATCATATTATAAAAAAGTGGTTTTTTTTTTCTTGCCTCCTTTTTTTTTGCACTTTTTCCTTGAGTAGGATTCTTCTTCAGTGAGATTGAATTGTAAAGTAAGAGAGGCCTTGTGAAAAAGGCACTCTAGTTTTATACCTTTTTGTACTTGATTTCGAATTCAACAGAGTGTAGACCTTTTTCAAGAGTGGATAACTCGTTTCTCGCATCTGCAGTTTCGCTTGGACGATTCGTCCTGGTTGCTCACTGACTCGCTCATATATACACTCATTCCATCATAAAAATTATTTTCCTCGTTTATACGGTCATTCAGTCCGGTCTTGTAACAGGAGAAATACTTTCTGATGTTTGTAATGTATATATTTAAAAGTAAAACTACTTTCGCTTGCTCTTCATCCTTGTATATGCCTTTCGCGCAAAGATGATAACGAGAAGATCCCGGAGGCAATGACATCACTCACACAAGTGCATTTTACAAAAAAAAAATAAAAAAAAAAAAGAAAAATAAAATTCAATATTCCACATCATTATGAAATCAGATATAATCCAAATTCCACATTTCATTTCACTTTTGCGCTTTCTCTGTAACTTACATAAAGCCTTTTCACCATTTAAAAAATTCCACAATTCAATGTTATAATTTTCAAAAAAATTTTTCTTAAAATATAATTTGCCAAATATCTATTTAAATGTAAAATTATTTTTATTCAATCAAATTTTCACATATAATTATTGAATTTTTATTTAAATGAAATTTTATTTAAAACAGAATTTTTAACTGCGAATTTTTGTATGGTTAAAATTTTTATTTCATATAAAATTTTAATTTAACGAACCATTCATTTACCAGCACTTTTTATTTAATAAAAGGATTTTGTTGAATTTTTAAATGACACAATTTATATTTCATCAAATTTTATTTTACTGCGTTCACACTGAAAAAAAAAATTCATTTGATTCAAATAATTGTTTACTTAACTATTAGCAAATAAATATTTACATGAACAAAATAATTTTTATTTGTGTTAAATAAATTGTATTTGAATCAATTAATTGATTCAAATAATAATTATTTGATAATAATCAAGTAACCGATTATTTAGAAATAAATTTTTTTTTCAGTGTGTTTTCGGACAAATAAAAGTTCTATATAATAAATGAAAATTCGATGTTTAAAATTCTTGCAATGTTTATTGATAAAAAAAAAATGATAAAAAACTATTTTTTAGATTACACATTTTATAATTTTCCATTTTAAAAAAATAATTTGTTTTCTAATCATTGATGATAAATGTTGTGGATTTTATTCTTTTAAGTGATTTGAATAAGTAGAAATTGGGTTAAATAAACATTTCATTAAATATAGAAATTCTATTCATTATGGAAATTTTGTTAAATATATAATAATAATAATAATTATCGTTTAACAATATTTAGTCAGAATTTTCAATTACATTATAATTTCATAAAAAATTTATTTAATTAATAAAAATCGATAGAAAAAATTTGATTTAATTTGTCAAATTTTTTTATAGTGAAAAATATACTTATATACAAATAAAAAGGGTTATTTTATTATACATATATGTCACATGCTTTTTTATTGATTGAATCAAAGCAGCAAAAAAAAGGCAAGGTTTCTGATTCAGTCACATATATATGCTTTCTCATGTATCGCAATATCTTTATTCAATACATATATATATATTATATGTGTGTGTCTACTATTTTCTACCTCCTCGGATTGCAATAATGCAACGAAACTATATAAACCAGTCTTACTTCTCTGGCAAATCTAAAAAATTTATATATGCCTCTCGTATCCGCTCTTATATTTACTTACATTTGCCTCGTTTCATTTCTTCTTTTTCTGACCATAGGCGCTAAGAAAAATTGTAAAAAAAACCAATACAACTACTGTCTGACTTATGCAAGCTCAATCCAATATATACCTTTTATTTCCTTTACACATATATACTTTCATACTAAATTTTTCTATATTCACAAATTTGGAACGCAAGAATATTCCCTTCATTAGACTTGACTGAATTGTTGTAGTCTCAAATTAAAAATTATCGAATTTACATTTAGTAAAATTTAAAAAAAAAAGATTTTATAATGAGCCTAATTTTAATAATTAAAAATTTTTATTTAACAAAATTCTGATTTTGTAGAATTTTTATTTAACTGAACTTAGATAAAGCAGATTTTCTAATATATCGAATTTTCAAATAACATTTTCCATTTAACAAAATTGATATCTAGAAAAATTTTCTTAAAAAAGAATTTTTATTTATCAGAATTGATCATTTTTGGCGAATTTCTATTTATCCGAATATTCACTTAGAAAGTATTCTAATTAACAGAATTTTCAATTAAAATAATTTCTATATAACAAAATTCTTATTTAACAAAAGTTTTATTCAAAAAATTCCTATAAAATCTAATTTTTATTTATACAATTGTCATTTAACAGAAATTCTTCTTAGCTAAATTTCTGTTAAATGACAATTCTATTAAATAAAAATTAAATAAAAAAGAAATTTTATTTAATAAAAGTTTTGTTAAATATATAAATTTTGTTATATAGAAATTCTTTTAATTGGGAATTCTGTTAATTAAAATACTTTTAAGTTAATATTCAGATAAATAGAAATTCGACAAAAATGATCAATTCTAATAAATAAAAATTCTTTTTTATGAAAATTTTTCTACATATCAATTTTGTTTAATAGAAATTGTGTTATTTGAAAATCTGCTTTATCTATATAAGTTCATTTAAATAGAAATTCTATACAAAATCAGAATTTTGTTAAATAGAAATTTTTCATTATTAAAATTGGACTCATTATAAAATCTCTTTTTTAAAATTCTACTTAATGTAAATTCGATAATTTTTAATTTGACACCACAAAAATTCCATAAAGTCTAATGAAGGGAATATTCATGCGTACCACAAATTTATTTCCTTTTTAATTGACTCAAAAATTAATAAAAAAAATTATTGTTTTATTAATAAAATTGAGCAAAACATATTTTGACAAGATTTTAATTAATTAATTTTTCATTATCAAACAAAAAATCAAACGGGCTTTGTTTTATTGGTTTTTGCATTTTTTTTTTTCAAGTGCTTTAAATGTTATACTTTATAAAGTGAAATTCTGAATGATTTGTGTTCACTAAACGCGTGCAACGCCGTGAGACAATAAAGTACCCAGATAGGCGTCACAAAAAAAAATAATAATAATAATAATAATAATAAAACATACTCAAAATCAAAATTAAAGACGACACGATTTCAGACTTTTGGTATAGAATTTTGACAGACAGTAGATTGATCAAAAATTTTTTAGCATGGGCAAAAGTTACATGGATTCGGGCCTTGGATATATATATATATACGCAATGAACGTCTCAAGATGTTCCTGTAAAAAGCTTGTAAATTTCTTACCTATAGCCAATATATTATGTAATTCACAAATTTGAGAATGTATCTTTTCTTTTATGTCGTCGAAAATTGCAATCGATTCAATTATAATTGAGAAATGAATTTTATGTTTTTTATAAAAAATATATAATATATTTTTTCATATTCAATATTTAATTTAATATTAATTCTAATGTAATATTTATTATTTACTTTAAAATAATATTCACAATTTATTTTAATTATTTAATATTAATTCTAATTAATATTCATTTCTAGTTGTAATGTATTTTCAAAAATGTACTTGAAATATTATTTTCCAAAAGAAATGATACATTTCCATTATAAGTGACTCCTACTTATCTAATCTCCATCTTTTAATGATTTAATATCAATTTTTAATGTTGATCGCTTTTTGGGAATTTCATTTTCAATTTTAAAATCATTCTCCAAAAAAGTAGAAGTTAATTAAAAAAATATGTAAACTAAAATATGAATTTGAATTTACGATTTATAAAAATAAATTTAAAATGAATTTTTCAAAAAAAAAAAAAAAAAAAAAAAATGTTTAATAAACAAAACTTTTTATAATTACAAAATTCTCGGTAATATAAAAGTTTTAAATTAGAAAATTTTTTGCTTTTTTTGTATATTCGAACAATTTTTTTTAAAAAGTGGATATAAGATAAATGATATGAGAGTGTTGAATATATATATAATAAAAATTATTAGTAAGAAAATGTGTAAAAATTAATAATCAATTTTTTCAGAGCCTAGAAAAGTTCTACCAAAATTCAAAACAGACGAGCCTGTTTGTCCTGATGGAAAATTATCCTGCGGCAATGGTGAATGTGTCGATAAAGAATTATTCTGTAATGGAAAACCCGATTGCAAAGATGAATCAGACGAAAATGCCTGCAGTGCGTATTTTTCATTTCTATAGAAGAAAAAAAAAAAAATCCCTATTTAATTCGATTCTAATTAATAAAAGTTTAAATTTTGAATAGAAATTTTTTACATAAAATAAAAAGCGAAATAAAGAAAGACAATAACAACAATAGACTGTAAAAGTTGAAATAAAATGCAAAAAAAAATATAGATATAAAAATAACAATGCTTTTTAAAAAACATAAAATAATTTCAATAGACAATAGAAAGTTGAAATATTGATTTAAAATAACAAAGCTTCAAAAAGTTGTTCAAAATAATTGCAAAAATACTACAAGAAAATAAAATTAGTTTTAAAAAAATTTGGAAAATATTATATACAAAAGAAAAATTAAAAACATAAATTCTAAAACTGGTTTTTTTCCACAATACTAAAAAAAAAAAATTCCTTTCAGCTGTGGAAACTGATCCAAACAGAGCCCCCGATTGTGATCCAACACAATGTATTTTGCCGGATTGTTATTGTTCAGCAGACGGAACACGAATTCCTGGGAATATTGAACCATCTCAAGTGCCACAAATGATAACAATTACATTTAACGGAGCAGTAAATGTGGATAACATTGACTTGTATGAGGAGATATTCAATGGACAACGAGCAAATCCAAATGGTTGTCAAATTCGTGGCACTTTCTTTGTTTCTCACAAATATACAAATTATTCAGCCGTACAAGATCTTCATCGTAAAGGACATGAAATTTCTGTTTTTTCATTAACACACAAAGATGATCCACAATATTGGAGTCATGGAAGTTATGACGATTGGCTCGCAGAAATGGCTGGAGCCAGATTAATTGTTGAACGTTTCGCCAATATTACCGATGGATCCATTGTTGGTTAGTATGAACCATTTTTTATTTAATTTTTTTTTTTTTAAATTCAAATAAAAAATAATATTGCGAATTTATCAAATTTTGTTGCGAAAATAAAGTTTGCAAATTATTGTCGAACAAGTACAGAAAGGAATACTTTTCCTACTATGAGTTTGAAATTTGCTGCGCGAACATGAAAATCAATCAAACTTATTGAAAAAAAAAATCTTTTATTCATATATACGAGATGCACACGATAATTTATGTATTTAGAAAAATACTATAATTTTAATTATCTTTAGTTATAGGGTAAAATAAAAATTAAAATAAAATAATCTTTACCTTTAATGCTAAATATTGAGCTTTCAACGACAGGCATGTTGAGGTTATGTTGTCCGATTGCGAATTTAGAAATTGTTGTAACACTTATATGACAATCATTATCACTTGTTTGATTCATTTCATTAATCCTGTATAATAATTCAGAAACTTTAAAATTTTAAATGATATTCAAACACAAAATAGAGCAAGACAATTTTGTCAACTATTTGCAAACTGTCTTTAAAACTAAATAAAATATAGTAAAACTTTTATAAAATTGCGCTAGATGGAGCGACACGGCAAAGCCTTGATTTGAGTGCAAAAATAAAATAAAATATAGTGTACATGCAAGTGAAAATAAAGATTTAATTTTTTTTTCTTTATAGGATTGAGAGCACCTTACCTGAGGGTGGGAGGTAACAAGCAATTTGAAATGATGGCTGATCAACTTTTCGTCTATGACGCTTCCATAACAGCTTCACTTGGTCGTGTGCCCATTTGGCCGTATACACTTTACTTCCGTATGCCTCATAAATGTAACGGAAACAGCGGAAACTGTCCCTCGAGATCACATCCGGTGTGGGAAATGGTTATGAATGAATTGGATCGACGTGACGATCCAACATTCGATGAATCCCTCCCTGGTTGTCATATGGTGGATTCTTGTTCCAACATTCAAACTGGAGAACAATTTGCAAGACTGCTTAGACATAATGCCTTCCGTCATATTAATTCAAATAGAGCACCATTGGGATTCCATTTCCATGCTTCCTGGCTCAAGAGCAAAAAGGAATTCAAGGAGGAACTCATTAAATTCATCGAAGAAATGTTGGGCAGAAATGATGTCTATTTCGTCACCATGGTCCAGGTAATATATATTTATAAATTTTCAAAATCTGCTAAAATAATCTCAAAATACAAAATTAAAACAATATTATTAAAAATAGATTTTTTTCTAGTGAAGGTAAATTTTAATATTTCTCTTGTTTTAGGAATTAATTATTTCGGAATGAAAATTTTTTTAGAAATAAATTTTCTAGAATTAATTAATTTTTTTGTAATGAGAATCTTTTAGATTGAGAAATTAATTTTCTATAGAATTTTAAGTTTTTTTTTTTAATCTCAATAAAATAGAAAAGTTAATTTTCAAAAAAATACCTCAGAGATAGCAGTGGTATATATTCTCTAAAATTCCAATTATTTTACGAATTTACATTTTTGAAAGACAAGTATGTAAATTTGTCGACTCATTAACATGAAATTTACAGAATTTAATTGCGTCCATTTAATGGCTTTTTAGAGTATTTTTATTTCAAAATCTAAATTTGAAGAAAATGAAATTAAAAATTTTTCTTTCACATATTTTTCATTCTAAATAAAAAAAGTAGAATAATAATTATATAATAATAATTATTATTCTAATAATTATAGTAAATAATAATAAAAAAAAAGGAAATAAATTCGGCTAAAAAAAGGAAATATTTTTGCAGGTGATAAAATGGATGCAGACGCCGACGGAATTATCGGCAATTCGTGATTTCCAAGAATGGAAAGAAACTTGTGATGAAAAGGGACAACCGTACTGTTCCCTGCCAAATGCATGCCCCTTAACAACTAGAGAATTACCTGGTGAGACCCTTCGTCTTTTCACCTGTATGGAGTGTCCCAATAACTATCCCTGGCTGCTGGATCCAACCGGCGATGGTTTCTCCGTGAAGAAATGAGTTTGGAGGCAATAGACTACGATCGATCGATCGTGCAAAAGCCTTTTTTTCTCTTTCACATTTTCAAGCACACAGCCTCAGCGTCAGTGATGTCCTTACTAAATATTAAACTCGAATAATAAATTTGTTTTTATTTTCCTCCAGAGAGGCACATGGAAACTTTGAAATAGATTCCATTTTTTTTTTTTCTAATTTTATCATTCGAAACGAAAATAAATTTAGCAATAAAAAAGTAAAACTCATCAGAAAAAAAATTCCTAGTTACAGAAACTAATTTTTAATTACATTCATGTTTTTTTTTTCTTTTAATTTAGTTTCCGTTATTAAAGTGGAAATTTTTCCATCACCGAAGTAATATGAAAAAGAAATTAAATTTAAAAACTTTTTTTGATTTTATTTTCGAAAAATATTTGATGTTAAGGACAATATTTCCGAAAAATAAGGAAAAATAAAATTTGCCTCAAAAAAAAAAAAAAAAATTGTAAATCGCTATATTATAACGACTTTACAAGATTTCAATCTAGTTTTTTTTATATATATACATACAATAATTAGTACCGAAAAAAAGTGAATTTTGTATTTTTGATAAAATCACACACAAACATTTTGTGCATATTCCAAATATGAACTTTAAAAAATTTTCTTATGAAAATATTATTTTTCGAGAAATCTCAAAGACTCGTTTTCCTCCTGAAGAACTAAATAATAATTTGTTTTGAAAATAGAAATGAAAAAAAAAATCCGATAGTTATTAAACAAACTATTGAGATTATCGAAGTTTTTTTTAATATTCATGAAATAAAAAGAGACAATGTTTTTTTTTTTTTAAGTCGCAGGAGGATATTATAATGTTAAGTTGATATGTTAGTATATCTTGTGTGAGTGAATGAATGAAGTTAAGATACAATGTCCTAAGATGTGTTGAATTTTTTAAATCCGGACAAAATGAAAATAAACAAGATATTTATTTATCACGATGCATTTTTATAATAATCCATTGATCACATTCCTATTCCTAAGAATTTTTTGTGTTGGAAATTAGAAAATTTTCTAATTATATTTCATTTTTTTCGTATAATAAATATTCTGCTATAACAAAAATTGATTAATATTGAAAGTTTTATCATTATTGACAAAAAAATCGAAAAAGTAAAAAAGTCGAATTTTAGAAAATATTAGATAATTCAAAAAAAAAAAAAAAAGAAAAATAAATAAAAAAAACACGAGAATTTTAGAAATTTTCAAAATAAAAAGATAATTTGAAGGAGATATGTAATTTTGGTCAGTTTTTAAAAAATAAATTTTAGAAATTTCCAAAAAGAAGAATTTGAGGAAATAGAAATAAGGAAATAGAACAAGAAAATCAAATTTTTTTTTTTTGGTATTTTTATTAAGTCCTGCGAGTATATACAAAGGATAGAGAACTAAATAACTAATACATATTATAACTAAATAAACAAAGGTTGTTATAATTGTAGTAACGTGAGTTAATATTATAATTAATTTAAATAACGTAATATTGATAACTATAAGACCCGCGATGCGCTGATCATAATTCAACCTCAATATGATGAAAGATAATTTATTAAAAAAAAAAAAAAAAAAAGAAAAAAAAACATACGTGCCTGATCACATGACACACACAAATATATATATATATATCATTTTCCATGCTCTGAGAGAATCCATCAGAATACTTATTCTCCATCCCCCTCAAAAAAAAACATTATTTCACAAAATGGTTGCATTTCTTATCATGATAAACATTCGCAAATCGTATTATCGATGAACGATTTTTTTTCTTTTAGTTTATCAAAAATTTTATAGGCACTTATTAACACAACGCGTATAGGATTCTTCGAGAGCAAATAATAATTATTGACAACGCTCTATAAACGAATGTATGTATTTATTTCTTTTTATTATTTATCCGCAATTTTTTCAATTGGTATTAATAATCGATTCTTTAATTGTGAAATACGAGATTCGTTCAGAGAGCACCTATTCGCATAATAGACAATAAAAAAAAAAAAAAAAATAGTTCTTTTTCTTTTCTTATTGATATAAAAAGGATACTCTGAGACGAAAAAAAGAACTGAGCACAATAATTTGAGTTCCATTTCGTAAATGAGAAAAGAAATATTTATTTAATTTATTTTTCCTTAATTCTCGTAACATTCAATTAAGAATTATTAAATCCCTTTACAAAATGGATCTCATATCTGGTAAAACAAAAAAAAATGTTCAAAATTGTCATTCTTTTTTTCTTCTCCATTTCGTATACGACACAAGCTTTTTATCGAAAAACCGTCACATTTATTATTCGTAAAAATATCGACGATTGTGTCTCTTTTCTTTTCGCTTGTATATATCAATCCTTTTCGAGTTAACTCAACATTTCATCTAGAATTGATACCAAATATATTAAAAGTTTATGGTTTACAAAAATTGTTGCTGAAGAAAATAAAAAGAGTTCTTGAGTTTAATATAAAATTATATATGTATATATTTATAAATAATCGAAATAGTTCTATCCAAATTTCTATGAAAATAAAATTTTCTCAATCAAATTCATTCGACGAATATTATAATATATGCCAGAGGCCAGAAAAAATAACCAAAGGCTTATATATACAATCGATAAATATTTTACGTTGTTTGATACGTGATTTTTCATTTTGTAAAAAAATATATAAGAGATACATTTTTATATATTCTAAATGCAAAATCCAATAACTTGTTAACATTTATAGTTGAATTTAATTTTTTTTTTTAGTAAATTCTAATTTCTTAATTACTTCGATTATACATTTAATTGAACATTCTTTATTTCTGAATTATTTTTCCTCACATTTTTCTCAAGTCTTGATTCCAAAATTTATTGACTTTAAATAAATTTGTAAATGGTCCCCTATTATATTGAACTAGATAATTGTTATTATAATTGACGCTAAAATAGAAAATTGGGAAATTAATTCAGAAATATTTCTTTTCTCATTTTTACTAAAGAAATTAAACTTTGGAAAAAAGACTTTTAAATGTTAATATTTAATAAGCTTATCGCCTCGTCTGAACACGTATTATATCTTTTGTTATCAGAAAATAGAATTCTTTAAACTTAAACTCAGTTCCCGCTTATTTTTCCTGCACATCGTTTTTTTTTTATAATCTCTTTCTTCTTCTTTCCCAGTCGAAATTTGAACACGATTAGATCTCTGAAGATAATCAACTTAAATTCACCAGATCTTTTTTTTACATAAGATAAAAAAAAATTCATTTCTTATGATAAAAGAATTGTTTTTAGTTTTTTCATTTTTAATTCGTTTTTTTTTCATTTTAATTTCATTTTCATTCATTTCTAATTAAAATGATAATTTTCGTTGAATAATTTATATATAATAATAAAATTATCTTAAATACATAAATGTTGATTAAATAATTTCAAAAAATAATAATTATAATAATAATAATATGATTATTTAAATCTTGAATATTAAATAATCATAATTATCATATCAAGAAACCTAATTTGAAAAAAAGATCTGATGATATCTAAAATTTTTTAATCGGAAACGATATTTTCATTAATCTTTCATTAAAAATAAATTATAAAATTAGATGATTTGATTATTATTGATTAATAAAAATCAATACACAGCCCTTAATTTCAATCGAATAAAACACGGTCATCTGAACACGCTGAAAGTTACTCTCGATTGAAAAAACAAGAGCTACAATTTTCAATCATCAACATATAATGATGAGATGAATTTACTTTTTACAAATAATATATTTACAAAATTATTATTAAAAAATATACACATATTTATATATTTCATACGGGGGACAAGTATGAAAAAAAACTGTCATTTATAGTCACAAATAAAGTATTTCTCAAAAAAAGGAAAAAAAAACTATTTTACAAAAAAAAAAAGAAGAGACCAAAATAACAAGTTGTCAATAAAAAAAAAAAAATTAATCGATTTTCATGGCTCTTTAGAATTAAAAAATTCAAAAGTATACCATATATTCAATTTGATTTTCTACATTGATAAAATTATCTTAAAAATAAAAGTAAACTACTTTAGTTTAATAACGAAAAACCGAAAAAAAAGTTATTTTACGTTCAACTTTTTTTATTCTTTGTTTCCGTGGGAAAAATTAAAGCATTTCAGATATGAATTTTATCATATACAAAATAAAATAGGGTTGAAACGTTTTTACTGGCCAAATTTTTCAAACGCTTAACGACAATTTAACACGCGATATAATGTTATTTTTACACTGAAATCACCGACACCAAATCAAAAATAGCCATCGCAACTGCTTTCGAGAATAACTATCATCGCGTAGATTTAACAAATCTGACGACAACAATATTTTTTTTTTTAATTCATATTCTGTCCTTATTGCTTAATTGAGCACAAATTTCTCAAATTTATTAACGCTTCTTTTCTTTTTTTTTTACAGTATTCAATTTGAAAATTTTACATCGTAGCTAAACGTCGACAAAAGTCCTTCTCAGGATTATTTTTCCCTCAAATAATCGATATAAAAAAATACAATTTCACCAATAAAACAAATTGATGATAATTTAAAGTTAATTAACAATAAAAAACAAGATAATCATTTCTTTTTTAATAATGAAAATCTCAATGATTTTCCAATAAATTTTTATACATTTGAACTTAATTGAAAACATTTTAATATCTTCAAAAATAAAAAAGAAAAAATAGGGGAAAAAATATTTCGTCAGTTCAAAAAATTTGAAAAACTTAATTTTTTTTAAATTATGTCTTCATTAATTTTAACATGAAAATCTACATAGAATAAAATAAGATAATTTATGAATCAACATTTTAAAAATTAAAAGATGTAATAGTATATGTCAAGTTTCCTATTTTTAAAAATTTGCAAATATTTTTTAAATTTTTTTCCCATTCTTTTTTTGATAATTGTATTTAAAAATAATTCAGGTATATACTAAGTCGAAATGCTAATTATTTAAATTTTTATATTTACAAATTTCTTCATTCCATTTAAAAAATAAATGTTTTTTTTTTTTTTTTTGTTTTTCTTTTTATATTTAAAATTATTGGCTTTAACGAAAATCATTCTCATTTGACCATTTATCATTTATCGAGTAAATATATTCCTTCCAATTCAAAAATTTTATCACATAAATTCAAATTTAATGTACATATTTTCTAAAGGTAACTTTTTCAAATATTTAAATCAAAAAATATTTCTCGTAAATATACTTTAATTTAAATTTAACTAATTTAAATATTCCAAAATTCAATAACTAAATTTAAAAATTCAAAAATATTTTTTTTTTTTCTTAAACAAAATCTCGTACGTCGTTCTATTTTTAATCCAATTATAAAAGTTATGGTTTATTATAGAAAAAATCATTTAGATTTGGATTATTTTTATAAAATTTAACTTATGAAAGTTAAATTCAAATTTAATTTATAATTTTGTTCTATTAAAAAATGGATAAAGATTTTTAATCATTTTTGACTTTTTTTTTTCTTGACAACTGAAAAAAATTTTTGTCTTAAAATTAAAAATAATCGAACTAGACAATTTTTTCTAGACTAAACCTATTAATAATTATATTATAATCAGAATTTAAAAATTGAAAAAAAAGAACTATTTTCATGAAAAAAAAAAAAAAAAAATTAATTAATTGAAATCAAAAAGGAAAAAAAAAACTCAAATTTTTTGAGCTGATTTAACGATTTTAAACGTATAATATTTAAAATGTTTGCGCGCTACCCCTTGTTAAGTTAGATTATTTCGCCAGGATTCCAAGGAGCGGCAAGGCGCATTAATCTGGATTCTAGAAAGCATTCAGGTAAAAACAGGTATATACTTTTAGTAGCTTGAGAAGGTCGGGCGTCGGCGTCTCGCTTCGATTAACGCTTTGTTACAATGAGCCTCGCTTCGCAGTAGTAAGAGACCGTCAAACACAGACTGATCAGACAGATATTATACCCAGGTCAAAACTACTGCCACGCTGTAACTACTTACGCGTCCTCTACAATCCACGCGTCATGACGATGCATTATACAAAAAAAAAAAAATAAAATAAAAAATGCGAGTACAGTGACGAACAATGTCATCATCGTCATTACAACTAAAGATATAATATAATATAAATTGATAATATCAACTTCATTCTTTGATGATTCACTATCAACAATTATTATATATATTTCCACTAGGATATTATTTCAAAATTCTCAAAACTTTATTGAAAATTTATTTTTGATATATAAAAAAAATTTCTATTTAAAGTCTAAATGAATAAGAAGATAATGAAGCTGTTACTATAAAAAAAACCAGCAATTTCAAAATTGTAAAGCAAATTTGAAAAATAATTTTGTGTATTACATAAAAAAAAAAATGCCAAAAAAAGTGATATTATCAATTTATATCATCAATATTCGTGAATCGAGTAACGAATCGTTATTCTAAATCATTTGAAATCTTCAAAGCTTTTAGTCACAAATTAATACTCTTTTTTCAACAATTTTTTTTTCTGATTATCAAGCGACTGCATAATTTCACTTTAATTCAATATACATTTTTTTTTTTTTAATATATATATATATAGATATATAAAAAATATCCTTAATAAAATAGAGCATTTATATTAAGGTATCAACGAGTACCTTATGCATGATAATTCATTCGCTATTTTTAAATATTTATATATATATGTATAATATACTATTATAGTTCAACGTATGAGTCATGTGAACATTTCCCTTTTAGGTATCAGCAAAATTTATCATGAGTGCCCTTTATTATATTTTCTTCATCTTTTTCTTCTTTTTTTTTCTCTCTCTCTCTTTCTTTCTTTCTTTCTTTCTTTATAAACTCCGTAACGTTCTTAAGTGCAAAGTCTTAATCAAGATAATGTTCGCAAATTCATTATAAAATTTACCGTTATTTACAAGAATGAAATTTCTACCTATACTAGGTATATTAGCAATCACGAAAAGTAGCAAATTTATTTGATTAACAGTATTCCTAGGGGGAAAAAAAGAACAATTAAAAAAAAAAAAAAAAAATGAAAAATAAAAATGGACAAAACAAAAATGTCATGGTCCAAATCAAATACCAATCAAAACGTTTTTTTTTCTTGCAATCAATCGAAAAAACGTTTACTTCAATATTGACAAAAAATGTATAAATATAGAAGAAATATATATATATATTTTTTTTTTGAGAAAATAGATTATATATTCAAAAGCAAGTAAAAAAGTTATAATTTTAAAAAAATTTGTATTTTATGACAAATTTCTTATTTTTTTTTTTTTTTTTTGATAAAATTTTTCTGTAATTATTAGAAAATAGTAAAACAGCAACGAAATTTAAATGAAAAACATTTATCGACTATCGGACTATCGAGCTCAATGAGCATAATAATATTGATTGAGAAAAACAAATATCTATCACTTTGAAATGATTCCTATTCCTATATAATATTCCTCAACAGTAGAATCATTATTTTATTTTTTTTATATATTTTTCTTATTTTTCGCGCACTCGGGCCCAACGAAATTATTATATTTAAACATTATAATAAGCTATTTACAAAAAAAAAAAAAAAAATCTATCACCCGCAAAACAGCCGTCTATAGCCTATAACCAAAAAAAAAAAATTCAAGATGCTTCGATTTTTTTTTTACATCCTTATTTAACATACAAAAATAGTGCCACTTTTTCAATTTACTATAACTCCTAAAACAGTTTATTTCACATTTTGTTTTTTTAGAAAATAAGAAAAAAAGTTTTCATTTTTAAATAATTATTCCAAAAAATAGCGAAAAATTTAAATAGTTCAGTGGCTCCCATTATAATCGACGATCGCATCGAGTTTTTTTTTTTTTTTATTTTTTAAGGAATTCTTTCTTCAGACCAAAAAAATTACCAATCGACAATAATATTATTGCCTATTTTTTTTTTTTTTTTTTTTTTTTTTTTTTTTTTGAAATTATATACTATTAATCGATAATTCATTATTTATGTACATTGCAATATTTAATAACGTATAATAAATAAGCTCAACGCGATACCTAACGCATAGTACAATAAACGATGTACCTAATTTTTTTCGGGCAAATAATTACAAATGATAATATTAAGTATAATTACAAATGATAATTATTATTGTTATTATTATTACGAATAATAATTATATAGTAATATTAATCATTATGATGATAATAATAGTGTAGTAGTAATATTAATAATAATAATAATAATATTAATTATTTAATAATAAAAAATAATAATTATGATAATATTATACTCGTGTTATCGAGCAATATATATATAAGTGTATATTTATATATATATATATATATACTTTCAGCAGAGAACTGTTTACTGCCGATAGTCTCTAAAAGACTGCAGTCTCTTTGTTTTGTTCGCTGCATTCAAAGATGCAAAATAAGAAAATTAAATCTTCTTGAAAAGAATGCTTTCTCAATGTTCACCAATGAACAATTTCGTCTTTAACGGTTATTTTTGAAAATCGTCAAAAAAAAAAATTAAAAAATAAAAAAAAGAAACTGCTATATATATAATAATAATAGTAATATATATTTTTTTTTTCATATGATATGAATTTTAAACTAAACTATTTCGACGAGTCGTGTTTTCTTCTATTATTTCTATTTATATATATATAAATTTATGTATACAAGCCTATTATCGATTAATTAAGCGAATAAGAATATTATAGAAATTAACGACTACTCACGTGTCACTTATTTTTCTTTTAGGCACTTTTCTTCGAAAATAGATAAATTATATGTTTGTCATTCACGTCAGAGCTTTGGTTACAAACTTATATCGGTATAATAGTTCCACTCCTGTTTTTATTATCCCTCATGATTACTATATGCTCATCTATATAACTATATAGTATGCATTATAGTTGTTAAATCATGAGAAATTTTAAGTTTTTTTTTTTTTTCTTTTTTTTGAGTTTTGGAGCAAACGGCAGAAGTAGATTACTTATTATACAAGAGGCAGCTTGTAGCACGCAGTGACAGAAAAAGGCTTAGCCGAAAAATTACGTCCGACTTTATTTTATTATTTATCATTTTTTATTTGGAAAAAAAAGAAAAAAAAATGTATTTTTTTTTCTCTCTCTCTTTCTCGATAAAATTCTCACTTTTCGGCAGATCTCGGGACTGTTTGTGGTATCACGGTTAAGGACTTTGGAATTTTCGGCAATATTGGAATCGGAATTGATGGTTTTGTTGTTACTTGAATTGATTTTGGTAGATTTAAATTGCCGAGGAAATTTTGCGTCGGTGTATTTTCATTTGAGAGTTGTCTCATGTCACAAACAAGTGGTTCAAAATCACTACGACTCTGTCGATTTAACATTTCTTGTTGCATTCTTAAATGCTTTTGAAATTGTGTTTGTGGGACAAAATGGGCTTTTTGATTTTGTGACACTGGCTTTAGACCCGGTAGTGGACTATTTGCAGTATTACCACCACCTACTGGACCATTATTCAATTGACGCGAATTCTTTTCGGACAATGTTTGTTGCTTTTGTTGTTTATAATTTAATAATCGTTTATATTCAGTTTCACTCATTTCAAAAACCTTACCTCGACGATATTGCATTGGTGATTTCTGAGGATCTTTTCGTTTCGTTGGAGTGATAGAACTTCCACTTCCGCTGGTTGACGGAAAACTCAGTCGTTGAAGAGTCGGTGGTTTTTTCATTATTGACACCCCAGGATTTATTTTCATTGTTCGTGGTGAATTCGTCTTGAAAAAACAGATCAAACATAGTTAGACAAAAATGAAAAACAATAATGTAATTTTTTTAAAAAAAATTATTTTAATTTCTTGAAAAAGTATTTTAAAACAATTTTTTAATTTTAAAGTTACGCAATGGAACAAATTTTATTATTAAATGTTTTTTTAACGAATTTTTTATATTTTCAGTGATTATAGTTACCATTGTTAAAAATTGTGAAAAATTTTCTTTAAAATAGAAGACAAAGAAAAGAATAAAAAAAAATTCCTTTATATAAGATAAAGAAATATATGAAATTAAAAATTTATTTAACACTACAATAGATTTTCGCTCAATTGTGCTGTGAAAAATATTTCAACAATAAAAAATTATATAAAAAATTTTTAAAACTCTTTTCGAGACAAGGAATAATATTTCTTTTAAAGACGTTCTGTTCAAATATTGTTAAAAACATTGAATTTTTTTAAATTTTCTTTTAAATTTTGAAAAAATGTTCCCTTTTTTAAATCCATTAGCTGTTGCAAATTTAAAAACAATTTTGAATAACTAAAATTAAAACTTTTCTGAAATATAAACGAACTGTAAGAATTTATTTTAAAAGTACTTAATATTTTGGGAACAGAATTAAAGATTTACAAAGCATTTAACTTCTTTTCTTCATAATAATGATCTAAAATTTAAAATATACAACACCTGAAATTCTCAGGGAAATAAAAAAATACCTTCGAAAACCTAAACATATTAGAGAAAAATTTTTAATTTCTTAAAACTTTTATCCTTTTTTTTCTTCCTTGAAAAATAGGCAAACAAATTTTAAAAATTTCTAAAAATTTATGAGCCGAAAGTTTTTGAACGTTCAAATGAACAAAATTTTTTTTGTAACTTCTTTAAGTATGAATTGTGCTTGGCCCACTGTTTTTATCTGTCAAACAAGGCACTCACTTTATAAATGAAACCTTCTTTCCGTGTATAAACGATTTTTAAAGAAATAATTTTTTAAAATGAAAAATTCTATAATTTCTTGCCTAAAAAATATTTCTTGTAGTTTTCATTAATTAACAAATTATAAAAAAATATTTTTTAGGCAAAAAATTATAGAATTTTTCATTTTAAAAAATTATTTCTTTAAAAATCGTTCATATAAACGTTGCGTACTTCAGCTTCGTGGTTTTTTATTTTTTTTTTTTTTCAATTTTAAAACATTTTTTTATTCTCCTAAAAATTTCAAGTTTTCTAGGAATTTCAAATATTGTAAACTAAATTTCAAATATTGAAAAAGTTACTTACTCTTCAAATTAATTTTTTAAAATAAAATTTTTGAAACTTTCGATAAAAACTTAGTGTATTTTAAAAAATCTAAATTTTTTTGAAGAAAATTAAATACTTATAAGAAGAAATATAAATTTATTTTCAATAAAAAAAAAATGCATACTTTAAAAAAATTTGATTCTGTTTTTTTAAAAAATCTAGAATTTAAAATACAGCTAGATTAAAATAATTAAGTTCAATTTTAAGAGCTTTTTATAAACTGCCTCTTTTTATAGAATAAAAGTGATTTAAACAAATAATAATCTATTTTAAAAAATTTGAAATTCATTTTGAGTTTAGAATTTCTTTAACATTATTTGAAAAAACATTTTGTCTTGGCTCTTTAAATAGTTAAATTTTTTTAATTGCTCGGAAAACAGTTAATTTAATACATTTAAGTTTTGAAATAATGTATGATAATTTTGTTTGGGAGATGAAATTTTAAATTTTAAAACAGAAAAGAATAATTGACTTTTCTATTTTTTGTCCAATGTGTCTTGAAAAAAATTCAATATTCACGTAAGAATTGTTAATAATATGATTTTAAAAAAATATAGGTTATTCTTTCAACGATATAAAAATTTTCTTTAGTTATTTTTTTTCTAAAAATTAATTTTTTCCATTATAACCATTAGCAAACAAAATTATTTTCTTTTGAGAGATAGTGAAAACAAATTCAAGCAATTTTACAACAAAAAACACAAATGATTGTGCTAGGAGAAAACAAATTTTTCAAAAATCGGAATTTCAAAAAAAAAAAAATAAAGAAACAAACGAAAAATTGTTTTTAAAATAATAGGTGAAAAAAGGCGAATAAATGAAAATTTGTAATCACAATATTTTAAGAAACGAACCTTGAAAGTTTGCGAAGTGCTGGGAAGATTTGGTGTACTGGTAGTGAGGAAAGACGTTGTTGTATTCGTAGGTGGTACACGATCCCTTTCAACTACGAATCCTCCACTTAATCTCCTTGCATTCGTATAGTCAATTGTCACCGGTTCCATAATCGGTTCATCCACTTTCTCCGGGCCCTCATACGAGATCAAACGATTGTGCACCGAAGTCGAATAGTTAATTGCATTTCGCGAAGCATTTGGAGCGAGAACTAAATCTCCAGATCTATAGTATTTCTCCAACAGAATCAAATGTCTCAGGAAGGAACTTTGATTACCATAAGGCCTTTGTAATTCCTGCCAAAGTAATTTTGTATCACGATCATATTGTATCATAGTTGCACACTTTTCCCAACCTTGAGGCGTAACTTCCCTAACATTTCCAAATTCAATGTTGGCATGAAGATTCATTTCCTCTTCGCCTGGGAAAAGTGTTCGTACACTTATTGATGGATTTGCGCCAAGTCTTTGTACAACTGGTGTAATATCATTGCTCGTTCTCATCTTCTTTGGCAGTCTCGTTAATGTAACTTCCTTATCCATAGCGAGAATTTCAACAACATTTGCACCCTCACTAGACTCACTAGTATTTGTACTTGTAAAACTAAGTGCCTCCAATGCTTTACGTTTCTTCAATTTCTCAATAGTCTTTTCAATCGCAACAAATTGTACATCATTTCGTATTGATGATGTCGACTCATTGGAATTACTTGTACTCGCATTTTTAATGTCACTTTTAGCTGATTGTTCACTTCTTTCAATCACAGTTATTGGCGATGGACTTTCTTCCTCCTCATCTTGTTTATTTGTTTTGGCAACTAATTTTTCCAAACTAGGATTTGTCAAATTACTGGCATTATTCGATGATTTTGAATTCAATGCACTGTTTTTCGTTTGTGTTGGACTCTTGACTTTCTTTTGTTTCTCCTTGTCTTTGTCTTTTGATTCTTGATTAGTTGGCATATCATCCATCTCGTTATCCATTCCTCCTGAGAGACGACTACTTAAAATTCTGCAAATAATATTCAATAATTAAATTTACAAAGTTTAGTAAAACAAACACTTTATTAATTAAATGAAAGTAAAGAGAAATTTTTTTTTAAAAAAAGAGAGAAAATAAAATGAAATAATTAACTTACTTTGCTTTGTATTTTTTGCAGAATTCTCTATTGGTTTTATGCATATTGTCGATATCTTTGTATTTAAGCTGAAGGGAAGTAAAGCATCGGCAGAGTTTGCAAACAAAAGTACCGGCAGTTGTGGGAATATCCATTCCTTGAGGTATAAATCGTCGATTCAATTCAATCGTTTCCTGAGAATTGAGAGGGAAAGATTGATTTTTTTGAAGGCGTCGCTTACACAGGCCACAATTTAGGAACTTTGCGACTTTGGGATAATGATTTACGCAAAATGACATTGAAGTGAGTTGATTCGATTCCCAATTAATGTCCACCTAAAAGTAAAATTAAACATTTTTTAATGGATAAAAATTGCAAATGTATAATTTAACAATTACTATTATTTAATTATTAAATAAATACTAATAAAAATTATATATTATGTATACCAGTAAACTTACCTCACTTCGAAGACCAACTTTAACTTTTTGAAGCCAACGACGTCTGACATGATGCCTCGCGGGTTCTACACAGCCACGTGCACAGCATTTTGGTACCAAATATTGTCTATGTTGTTTTTGTGGTTTCGTTTGTATATTTGTTGGACTCTGATTCGCCTTTTAAAAAATCAAAAATTACTTCATTATTATCAACAATTAATTATCATTAATATTATTTATTAAGTATTGAAAATAAAATTTAGTTTTAAATAATTTAATTTTTAAAAATTATATTCTTAAAAGTTTTTTGAGTCTGATTTATGAAAATTATTCTAATTCAAATAATTGAAATCATACTCAAAAATTTCATGAAATAATTGAAATTATCATTCAAAAATTATTTTAAAATTTACGTTTATTTTCAATTAAATTATTTTCAATTGTTGAAGTTTCTTACCTTTCTGTCAATATGACGATAACAAGCATCGCACAGACAAGAATCTTTCGTCAGATGTCTTTCAAGATTCAATATCTTTTGCCGTCTTTCATCTGATTTCATTTGCGCCAAATGCATTGGTGTATCTAACGAGCCAAATTTCCCAAAGCAATAGCAACAAACATCGCCACAACAGCGACCAGGATGAATAGAAAATGATGAGGATTTCTCTGGTATTACCAAAGATTGACGATCCTTTGATTGTGATTCATCATTGTCTTCATCTATATAATATATGAATAAATCACCATCAGGATATAAAGTTCCCTCGAATTTTGAGATATTTATTTTTTTCAAGCAAAGCATAAGACATGCAATTTTTTTTTCGAAATTTCATTAGATTCTTTATCAATTTTTTTTTTCAGAGCCAAAACCAAAGATTTATTATTGTTATTAAGTGTGATAAAGGTAATAAAAAAAAAGTATTTAAAAATTCAATGAATTTTCGTGCATTATTTTCATTTTGCAAGAAAGCATAATTGTGAGATTTTTGATAAGCGTTTGAGGAAAAGGTTCGATTAACAAAGTTATTCCCACAACCAGGATTACCGCAAGAGTGTCTGTGGTTAGTAGTCAACTTTCGGTTCGCACCAGAACTGCTTTCTCCCACACTGGTTCCACACTGAAAACAAATGATGAACAATCTATTAGCGTACGATAATTAGTTTTATTATTATTTTTTTTTTAAAACAGAAATAATAAATGTAGCAAGTGAATCATTTTAAAATAAAATTTTATACAAATATTTGATATATATATATATATATATAAAAAAAAGAAAAAATAAAGGGAAAATATTTTTAAGAGATGATTTTTCTTTTTAAAGTGTAAAAATAAGAAAATACATACCTCCTTTTGAATGGTGTAAAACTCGGGTGAATCCCCTTCACCGTCAGCGCGTCCCTGCTTCAAGACCATCTTCAACGGTGATCGAGATCTCATTTTATCCTTATCACGTCCTTTTGGAATTCTCATTTTCAAACTTCCTGATATTTGCTCCCTCTTAGCTTTCTGATGATTTAAACGTTCAGCAGCTTTTTCCCACGATTCAAGTCCCAATAAACGAAAAACAGTTTCTTTTCTCGCTTTTTCTTCTGGAGTTTCTTGTATTATACTACTCGATGATTCGCCCGATGTTGATGCCTCATCAGAATCTTTTTGCATATTGTCAAGTGTTTTCGTACTTTTCTCATCGTCCAATGTAGAATTTTCATTATTGGAATCCTTTGGTATAAAACTTTCTCCATTACTTGTTGTACTACTTCTCTGTGAATTTTGCATATTTTCTAAATCATTTTCCGATTTACTTCGATTATTTGATGTATTGTCTTGAATTTTAATTGTTTGATTTTTATTTGTCGAAGGTACTGAACATCCACGTGGTGTTTTAGATTCTTCCATTGATTTTCGATATTTATTTTGAAGTTTATTTTCATTAATTTTAGCAACCTCATTGTCAAGTAATGTTTCTTCTTTATTTTGTTGATCGAATTTTTTCACTTCTTTTTTATTATTTCGTTTGGGCTTGAGATTTGTATTATTTGTAACTGTTTTTTTACTCTCTCGTGTACGTCTTGTTCGAACTGGAACTTCTGAACAAATTACTTCGTCTTTAGTGATATTTTGAGCTTTATTCAAAGATTGAGTAGTTTGAACTTCCGATAATATATTTCCATTACTTTGAGTTGTTTCCATCTCACTTTTTTCTTCATCTTTTATTTTTGTATCCACATTATCGTTGGATTGATTTGAAAATTTGGAATCTACTTTCTTTTGCTTTTCTCGTCCTCGTAAAACCCTTTTTTTGTCCTCGACGATCTTTAGATCCTCCTCTTTTGAATTGTTTGGATCTTCTTTTTGTAGACTCTCAGATGATGATAATGATGATGATTCTTTATTACTAACATTCAAGGAACTATCGTTGTTCGGTGCCACTAATTTCTCAGTCTCAGAAGATGAGTGTGTCAATTTTGTTTGTGCACTAGTTGCAGTAACATTATCACAGCCATCAGTCAATAAATGATTATTTTTATTATGTACATGTTCTTTTTCACTTGGTTCTTGCTCATTGTTTAATGAAATAGAATCGCTCTGAGTTTTAGGACAAGAAACGGCCTTGGAATTCGCTTCATTTTTCTGTTCAGAAATTTGAATTTCTGTTGAAGGAACTTTTGTCATACTGACAACATTGTCAGATTCAACTTTTATAGAAATGCTTTCTAAATTTTCCTCTTCATCGGTTAATGAAGAAATATTTAAAACAATACTTGTTTCCGAATCGGCTGTCAAACTTGAAGTGTCCATTAAATTATCCTCAATTTGTAAAGATTCATTTTTTAACATTCCCTCAACTATACAGTCTATTTTCTCAGAAGATAATTCTTCAGTAGCTTTACTTCTCCCCGGTTTCTTTAAATTGTCAGAATTAAGATTTTCCTCTATTTCAATTATTTCACGTGAATTTTTCGAAATTGCCCCATCATTGTTGGATTGCGTAATTGTTAAATTTTCTTGCGATGCTTTACTCGTCGTTTGATGAACTAAATCTTGGATAGTATTCATGTCGATATTCTTCTTTTGCGATTGAGAATCGATCAATTGATTTTCACCCATGACTAGTTTCTCAATTTCTTTGGCTGTATCGGCTACTTTCGGCACTGAATTTTCCGAATTGTCTGATTTTATCTTCTGCTCGGATATATTGGGCATTTCCTCTTCGTTTCGTTCTTCTAATCCAATTTTTTGAACTTCCGTGTTCAATGGAGCGACAACTTCTTCAATTTTTGGCACATCGAAACTTTTGCTTAAACCTTCGAAAGCTTTTCCCTTTTCTTGACCGTAAATTTTACTCTCAATTGATTTAGCAATTGTTAATTTAATACTCTCGATCATTTGATCAATTTGCGATTTTGATGAACCATCATTTTTCTCAGAGCTAAAGGCGAATGGATTTATTTTCTTTACATCGGTATTTAAACTGTTTCTTCGACTTCTCGGTGTATCGGCAATTTTCGTAAAAATTCTTTCTTTCTTTAAAATATCAAGATTCAAGGATTTCTTTGAATCTTCAACAACAGATTCCATCATTTTTACATCTGCCTTTGAATCTTCATTTTTCACATCGTCAATTTGCATTTCGTCACTATTTCGAGTTTTCACTTTTGATCTCAACGTTGGACCAACTTCAACAATACTCTCCACCTGATCGCCATTATTATTATTTTCAATTTCTGAAACAAATTGAATAACTTCATCAAGATGACTAATTTTCTCTTCTTTAGTCACGGATAAATTATTGTCTTTACTCGAAAGAACATTAATTCGAGATTCATTAACACTCGATTCGGAAAAACAGGATTCAGTGTCGATCATCCCATCGGAAGTATTATCTTGTTCCAAAGAATGATCATTAGTAGAATTGAGTCTTCCCCTCAGCTTCATCTCAATGTCCATCGATATTCCAGAGTCTGATAATTGTCGAAGCTTTCCATTTCGTAAACTTCTTTGACTTGGTGTTGTAATTTTTCTCCTCGTCTGAATTGGATTTTGCATTTGAATAATTTGTTCGATTCCTGACGATTCTTCGCTCCTTCCTTCCGTATCATCTTCACAGTCTATTTCCTTTTTAATTTCAATGTCACAAAATGATGATGATGATCTTTCACCCACTAGCATATTCTTATTTTTAGTGGTTGTTGCTTTGATTTCTTCTTTTTCTTCGGATTCTTCAAATTCAGGATCACTCAACATTGAAGCAATTACCTCATCAATAGTTAAATCAATAGAACTTTTGTCCTCAGAAAAGGTTTTTTTATCGGTATTTTTCAAAAGTGATGAATCACCAAATTCTTTATTGGCAAAACATTTCTTGCCAATTTTTCTCACTGCTTTGCCACTATTTTTCGGTGAGTCTGACTGTCGCTTACTGATTTTTTGATTCACTTTACTTGTTTCTTTATCTTGCGATTCACCAGTCTCGCTGTCACCTGGAATTTTAGTTGATTTACTCTTCTTTACAGTTTTAGTAATAATCTTGGCACTTTTAACATTCGCCGTCTCAGTTCCTTTTCCCTCGTTGTCAGTTGTTTTTACATTTAAATTTTCTGTACCACCTTTCACTCCAGTTTCATTAACTTTAGCTTCAGCACTTGTCGATGATTGTTTCACCTTTCTTGGTTTCACTGTTTTCTTCGTCTCGGTGTTGTTAATTCTTCTCGCAGTTTTAATGGGCACAACTTTTTGCTTCGCTTTAATCAGAGTTACTTTCGATCGAAGTTTCTGATTACGCTTGAGCTTCTCGAGCGCTTTTTTACGAGGCAAACTAGCTTCTAACTTTGGTGGGAGTTGGCTACCTGTTGCCACTGCTTCTAGAATATCGCGTGCAATTTGTTGTCTCAAGTTTGGCAGTGTTTTTCCTCCTTTTTTCGTTTTACTATCGGGAGATGATGATGATGATGATGATATACTAGATTCACTCGCCTTCTGCTTTGATTTAGAAGGCGCTAAGGGTCTTTTCTCCCTGGATGCCATCTCACTTTCACCCACATTGGGCTCCTGTAATGACACGCGAATAATTTTTTATATTAAAATAATTATTTTTTCACTGCTTAAAAAATTTAATTTAAAAAATAGTCATTCAAATACATATTAGGGTCGAGATTTAAAATGAAAATTTGATCAAATTTTCAAAAAAAAAAAATATATACATATATAATCCTGATAAAATAAAAATATTGCAATTTTAAAAATATTTTACCTTGGAGAAAAATTGTAATAATTCTATATAAAAATATTTTGTGGAATTTCTACTTGAGAGAACTTTCAATCTTTAAATTCTAAATCTGAAAAAAAAAATTTATTTCACAAGCTTGTCTTTTGTGATTGCGGCACACTTTTTCTAAAAATTTTAATATATAATTTTTATTTTCTAATAATCAAGTTCCATTTGTGTATTTTTTTCCTATGAAATTTTAAAGACGAGCCAAAAGTTTTGAACGTTCAAATGAACAAAATTTTTTTTTTTTGTAACTTCTTTAAGTACGAATTTTATTCCAAAATTATTGTTTGAAATATCTAAAAAGAAGTTATTAATTTAATATTTGTTTAATTTAATGTTTTATTTTACATTGACATTAAAATTTTTAATAATTTATAGATTGAAAAAAAATATTTTGTTCATTTGAACGTTCAAAACTTTTGGCTCATTTTTAAAGACTGAAAGTTGCTTTTATTGAAAATCACACAAAATACTCGGTTTTTCATGCCTTTTTTATTTATTACTTTTTTTTTAAAAAAAAAAATTTACTAATCTGTCATAAATGGGAATCATGTGTAGAATTAAATTATCTATCTAGTGCCTCGTTTTATAGCGATTTTTTCTATTGAATCATTAAAATTTTTTTCCATGGTCAAACAATTTTTAACAAACACATATAGTAGATATAACTTCAAGATTTAGTTACAAAGATGTAAAACTTGGATTTGAAGGTAAACATTTTGAATCTTTTTTTTACATAGCATATTTTAAAAAACTGTAGTCCTAAAAAATAAAAAAAAAATAATTTTGTAAAACATTGTAGAATTTATTTCTAGGCTACTAATTGTCGATATAAATATTTTTTAATTAGTAAAAAGTTGTTATAAATCAAAAGAAAATTTTTCTATAAAATATTAGTTTGAAAAACTTTTTAACGTTAATATATTTTTAATTTTTGAAAAATTAATATTCGATCTTGAAAAATAAAACTAAAAAAAAAAATTTGTTTTCATTTATTTTTTAGATAATAAGAAAAATCAAAATTATAATAATATTGTAAGTATATAATATAGTTTATTAAATATCATCCCTCACTCTTCCCTAAGTATTAATTTTGTTACAAATTTTTGGAAACTTTAAATTCTTATCAAAATTATTTTTATTAACTTTGGATCACGTTACCTGCCCGGTTAAAATTTTTTGGTAACTTTGAACCCAGCTACTTAATCTATATTAAAAAAAAAGAATTCGATGCTCAAAATTCACAACGTTTATGATCAACAATTTTTAATGAAATATTTTTTGAAATGAAAAATTCTATAAATTTTTTGGCTCAAAGATATTTCTTGCACTGTTTATTGATAAAAAAAAAATTATAAAAAACATTTTTTTTATAATTTTCCATTTTAAAAAATAATCTGTTTTCTAATCGTTGATCATAAACGAGGACTTCAGTATCGGAAAAAAAATTTCTTTTAACTTCGAATCAAGTTACCTGCTCTTTTACTCATTTTTATGGTAACTTTGAATCGTGTTATTTTTTTCCGAAAACATGATTTTATAATTAAGAAAAATTTTTATTGAACAAAATATAAATAAATTTAAATAAATTATTTTTTATTTTCAATTTTTTGTTTCAATAAAATTTGCTAAATCAACAAACCATACAATTAATATTGTGATAAAAATAAATTATTTATTAACACAATGTAATGAACATAAGTTTTAAAAATCAAATAAAGTGATTTTTGCGATGAAATTTTTGAATTAAAATTAAATTAAAAAATAAATACCAATGAAAATTTAACATTTAACAGTAAAGCTCTTTATATTATCGTTTTATTAGAATTGTAATTAAAGTATTGATCTCAAAGAAAATAAAAAAAAAACTTTCTATTTTTATACATATATAGCAAGCTTTTTCTAATTTCTAATACAACCAATAACAAATCTATACTTAATAGAATATCAAACTTCCATGATATCCATTTTAACTCTCATAAATTCAAAAATGTATTTACCTATTTAAGGGAACCATTTTGAAATACAGTGACAATATTTTTTTCCTCTCAAAAATAATTAAGAAAAATATTAATTTTTAATTAAAAAATTAATTGTTTTATCATTAAATCAATTAATTTTCAATTTTTATTCAAAAATCTAAATTGCATAATTAATTTTCAACGTTTAGAGCTTAGATTTGTGAGAAAAAAGAGAATTATATACAAGTATATATGTAGTAATCCATCCCTGAGTAATGTATTCTAACCTCTCACTGGAAGCTACAGTTTACACTAGTGCTCTACAACACTCTCTTTCCTTCAATAAAACATGTAAACTACTTTTCTGCTTTCTATAATAAACATGAATACAAACAAAACAGGGAACAACGTTTGTTTAAATTTTTAAATTAATAATAAAAATTGATTCGTTTAACATAAGTTAATTAGTATTGAAACTAATATTAAAGCAGTCATTAACTACATATGTGTAAATAAGATAAATGCCATTTGATTTCCACATTGAATCTGACGAATTTAACATTAAGAGAAAAATGTACTATTTTAAGTTGTTAAAGAATTTCCACTACTGACCTACTTAGACATTATAGATTTTTCATGTAATAGACATATAAGTTTCCATTTTACATGAGAATTATTTAATATTATTCAAGATCATCATATTAAAATTAATAAAAACAATATGCATGGCAAAAATCATGTTAAAATCAATAGAAAATAAAGGGATTAAAACAATATATATATATATATAAATTGTAAAAATACTAAAATGCTTAAAATACAACTAAAATACTATACATAAATAATAAAATTGATAAAATAAATTATAAATGATAAAAATAATCAAATACAATAAATGATAAAAATAAAATTTTAAGTAACGTGATAAAATAATATAAAAAATGATAAGAGATGAAATTTTACAACACATTTTATATAAATACACAAAACAAAATTTCAATTTTTCTTTAAGTACCTGAAATTTCCGTCTAGTTTTCCTAATAGAAAGCATTTTGTGGAAATATTGCCAAAATTTATTCACTGTTGTTAAAAATAAAAGTACGTAAGCACTTTTTCACACGTCAAACAAATAACCATCAAATATTTGTGTGTTTGTACACGCGGAAAAACTTATGGCGGAAATGCAACACAAGCCGGTAGTGGCGTGAAATAGTTTATACACTTCTCAAAGAATCACGTCAATGTTCATTCATTTATTTTTTTTTCTACAAAATATTAATATCACTATTTTCACGATAAACAAGAAAAAAAAATTGAAAAATTTATCACAAACAGTTACAAAACAATTTGCATTACATTTACATCCGTTCAAGTCAAATGTCCTAGGGTTTGTAAGGTGTACAACTCTCATTAAACTTGTGGATCCTTCGAACATCCATTGATGCGAATATACGATACCCGCCCCTTATACTTTATACCTGCGACTCAAACTTAACACCACTCCAACAAACCCATATAGTCAATGTGACGGAAACGAAAATTTGCTAATGAAAATTTGCCTTAAAGGTATATATATATATGTAAATGCACTGTATGAATTTCACGTGAAAAACAATTTTCAATTTCAAAGGAATTTTCAGGTGCCATAATTAATGGGTATTTCACAAATTACAGACATGATTATTAAACTTTTCTATATGGGAAATTTTAAATGGTAATTAAAAATCACTTTTCCTCTAGTAACGAATTTCAAAAGAAATATAATTTCTTAAAGGAATAAAGTAGAAAAAAGGGGGGTGTAAGAAAGTTCACTTTACTTTTCGTGTTCATCAGATTCTTACAAATTTAAACATAAATGAAGCTCTGCTCATAGTTTTTAAAATGGTACTCATATTTTTCTAATCAATTATTTTATAATGCTGCTAATTAAATAATATTATTACTTGTTGATTGATTTTTTTAAATATTACTAATTTTTTAGAATTAATAAAAAAAGAAAATAATAGAAAATGTTTTTACAATGTACAATTTCTAGATGCAGATTTTACTCCAAAATGTAACAGAATCGTTATTAGATACATCATATCAACGTTGAATTGATAAGATGAGATACACGACTTTTCAAAGAAAGAATTACGTGAAACATTTTCAAATTTTCTCTTACAGCAAATTTTTTTTTTTTTTTTTTTAATGGAATACTAGTCGAATTTTTTATAACAGAATTTTTTTTTTAAATTATTCATTATATTTTTATAAAAATTTACATATAAAATGTTTTACATATTTCATAAATCAATTTTTTAATTATTACTTATTTAAAATGTAAATATAAATTTCTATAAGATTTATAAATTAACTTGTATACGTGTTTTGAATAAATTAATTAATTATCTATTAAGTAAATATTTTTTTTATTTTCAAATTTAGAAATTAAACTGAACAAATAAAAGTTAAAATTTATTTTTCTTGTAAAAAATTACATCAACTTTTAAACAATAAGACTGAAAGTTCAATTATAAAAATAAAACCAAAATAGTTTATTTGTTGTAAATAAATTTTTTTAATAAATTTCCAATAAAATTTATATCATTAAATATTTTTCATTATCTAAAGTCCTTTTCTTTGACAAAAACAATAATTATTACAAAACTAGATATTTAAAATTAAGAGTAACTAATATAATTACTAAATTAATTGATTGTTAGTTTATATTCAATATTTTGTCATAATTTGTAAATTATTTTTTAAAAAATTTTTATTGTTTAATTATAAAAAAATAAACAATTCTCCATAACACGATATTTCAAACATAACCTTTAAAATTATTTCCAAACAAATGAATTAACAAATAAAATAAAACAAAACATTATTATAAATGCCATGAGTTTTTTTTTTTCTTTTTTGAAAATATTGACAACTCCAATAACAATCAACAAGTATTTTCAAGTTTACAATCCTGTAATTTTGCCATTAAAAAATGCTTATCAATATTATTTCAAAAATATCAATGGATTGATAAATCCAAACTCAAGTTCACATAGTTTGAAACAATTATGAACGTATATAGTTTAATTAGTAAAAAAAAAAAAAACTATTTCAAAAATAAATTTGTTAAAAATATTGTTCTTTATGTGAGATAATAAATATTTCGAGGAGTGACGCGTACAAGTATTTTCTAAAAACTACAGTAAAAACTGGGTATTTTACCTAGATTATGTGAAAGAAATATACAAATAACTAAGATGAATCATTAAATGTGTTTTCTCGATAAAGTATATCATCTAATTAAAAAAATCTCACGAAAGAAGTCCGACATATTATAAGTAGTAGTAAAGCAATCACAAGTAGTCGAGAATGGCTGATTTCGAACGCTGCTACTAACCTTTTCCTATATCTAACATGGATGGAAAATAGCGTATAAAGAATCTGAACCCCACGAAAGTATGAGAATGCTTCGAAATGTAAAATCTGCACGTCGAGAATATCCGCATAAAAGTAAATACGTAGCTTAGTGGGGTTGATGAATGCGGCCCTGTTAGCCAAGAAAAATTACGTGACAAACTTTGCATTTACACGGATGTACTGTGCGCCTCTTTCCGACTAGGAAAATGCCTCCAAGTATTTCCGGTAATATCTCCACAATGAATTTAGTAATTTGACAAATTTTTGTCCCAATATTAATTTCAATGCACATAGTAACTTCTCGCGTTGAAAACACGTTTTCTAGTATATTTAATATATCGAAAATTTCCCGAGAAAGCTTTGCGAAAAATCGCCACGAATAAACAAAAGGTCGAGTCTGACTTGGGATTTCTCGTGTTAGATATGCCACTCAACACTTATAGGCATGATAAAACATAGGCTTAATAGAAACAATGCAGAATAAACTTACCTATGAGGCTAAAAATCCTGCTGAAAGTCCGTCGTTTTTCGGGGAAAACGGTAAAAATATCCTCGAGAAAAAGACGGTGTCCCGTTGCAGGCAGGGTGTCTGTACGCTATCGCTGTCCTACTGTTTTGACCATGGTGCACAACTCTGCCACCTGGTGACAGATCACACGACCTTTTAAAGTCCCATAGCCTATTTATGATAATTTTCACTAGAAAAATATACAAAAGTTCATCCCCCGTAGTACGATGTCAATCGAAATTTAGGCACAATTTAATTTCTCACGTTGTCCAAGCACTTGGACGAACACAATTTAACATGGACAATTTTTCTTTACACTGATTTTAATCTGAGCAAGGTGGCAACAACGCGGCACATTCCCAAACCTACACGCTATTCATGCTAACTGTCTCAGACTTATTCTATACAAAAAAATTTCCCAATATATTGTCGTAATGCTTGGCGATTTTCTGAAAAAGTTTATTGTACACGTTCCTGAATAACTGAAGGGAACACAAGGTCGCGGGAAAATTGTTGTTACACACGAGGAAAACTCTCCCAGAGCGAGAAAGAAGACGCGCCCGTGCGCACCAATGGCTGACACCGACCCTTATTTACCGAAGTCAAAATGGCCTCCCTTCGAATTTTAACACGCTCGAAGCTTTCCTCAATTCTTTATGCCTGTTGTAAAACTGAATCACAAAGGATAGTTTCACCAGTCATCCTCGAGGTAGTCTTTACTTTTTCTTAACATTTCACTCTCTATAATTTCATTAGAAAATTTGTTCTATTATTTTTTTTTTCTCAGTTTCGAAAGTGAAGGGCCTGACGAACTGACCCTTATTACTTTATTACCAATGATTTCACAAAATGTCACAATTTTACATTATTCATGTGAACAAAGTGGTAGAATGTTAAGGATATTTCTATTATTTTTGCGCACTTAAAAAAATCCCCTTGAAAATGACAATATAACCCTAAAGCACTTGATTGACACTTGAGAAAATACGTCCACGAGGTAGAATAACAATTATGTAGACATAGTATTTGTGAAATTAGTTTTGAAAAAAAAATTATCCATTGTAGTATATATTTTTTTAATGCTTTTTGAAAAAAAAAAAATTGCAAGCTTTCAGGCAAACATAACCTATACATCTGATCAATGTGTGCTTGATAATTGTTGTTTTGATTTTTTTTATCTTTTAATAATTAAATTTTTTCTGACAATGTAATTTATTTTGAATAATAATTATATCATTTTTTTCATTAAGTTCTAAAATAATTAGATATTATTAAGTTATTTCTGTTGTAAATATTTATTTTATGTAAAAAAAAAAAAAAAAAATTTCAAATAAATTTCTATTTTTGTATAATTTTTCAGACTCAAAAAAGATGGAGCTATTATTTAACAGAAGAAAGATACAAGGACCCTTCAAAATACACGAAATTTGAAATTACATCTGATCCAAATGAATGGAAATATGTTGAACGATTACTTCCTTATAAAGTTGTTCCAGTACCTCCAAATAATATTGACGTTACAGCAAGTGGTTGGAAACCACAAAATGGTACATTCTTTTTTACCTTTGAAAATACAGAATAATAAAATAAAAAAAATAATTCAATTAATTTACAATTAATTTGAAAGTAAATGAATAAATTTCAATATTTGTTAAGAAATATTTTTTTTTCAAAACATTCGATAATCATTAGTTAGATAGCAAATAAACATTTTACTTTAATGCATTTAGTAAACAAATGTATTTGATTTCAAGAAACTGAATTTAAACAAAAGAATTAATTTATTCTTTAACGATTTTTTAGCACCAGACACGAATTTGCCCTATTTTGTACCTCGCACAAAGAACTATATGCATCCAGTTTACATGGTAATGTCAAAAAGAGGAATGAAAAAACTGACGTATGTACGTAAAATTCAAGGAGATATTTGGCAGCTTGAATCAGAATTAAAAGAATACCTTCAGAAACGAAAAGTATCCTTAGTAAATGTTGTTTCATCGCGAATCAATGAACTAGCTGGTGTTATTATCTTTCGAGGTGATTACGTTTCACAAGTAAACAGATGGTTGGAAGAAAAGGGATTTTAATTTTTCCACAATATTAAATTTTTGTATATTGAAATATTTGTAATTACTTTCCAATTATATCTTTATATTGATAAATTTGTCTATTATTATTATTATTACTGACCTTACTTAAATTTAACTAATCAATATTTATTTTGATGTACTTTATTTACTTTTAAAAATTTATTACCTAATTTATAGATTTTTGTTTTAACATTTATTTTTAAATTATATATGAATTTTTTTTTAACTATTCATTTGACTTAATAAAAAAAAATATATATATATAAATATTATACGCAACAAAAATTGAGATTTTATTATAAAAATTAATATATGGATATAAAAAAATGCAATAATGCAATATAGAGTAAATGCCATTCAGACTTTTCGATATTTAATTTTTTTTTTTTTCTCACTACTGACATACAAAAATCGCAGATCGATAAAATCAACGTAATATTGTGTCTCACTCGACAAAACGTCCAAATCTCAATAGAACAAAAATTGTAGTTTTCAACAATAAATAACACATTGCACAGTAATAATTGTCTGTTTCTAAGAAATGATCTGTTTTTTTGACTTGATCAGTCTAACAAAATGAACGAACTGTGATATATGAAAAGGAACAAAAAAAAAAAAAAGAGAAAAAAAAGATAATCATAATTAAAGAAGACGTTCTATATTATAGTTATAAATGATACGAGGACATTAGTACTTCGAGCTTAAGTTTTACGCATGACTTCGACAAACTCGTAGCAAAATAGAGAATTCAACATGTATAGAGTTGGACATTTAATGAGGAATAAAATGTTTGTGTGTGTGTGTCTGTCTGTCTGTATGTTGGAAGATCCGTAAGATGGACATTATGTTTTCGAAATTTGTGTTTTTACAGTATTAAGAGTTGAATTTTTCTTTCTATATTCTTTTTCAACAAAATACGGATCTTATTTTTATGAAAAGTCTAAAATTAGACAGCTGTTTTTTTTTTCTTTTTTTTGTTTTTTTATTTGAAAACCTTTCCTTGATTAAATTTACGTCCTTGTTTGTCAGTGCCTGACCAGCTCAAATATTGTTTTACCAAATCCTTCGTTTCTTTCGCGGAAGGATCCAATTTTCTCCAGCTGTATGATTCATAATCAATTTGCCAGTCTGGACACAGCTGTAAAATAGAAATTTAATTATTAAAAAACTGAACGAATATTTTTTTTTTTTATTTCAACGAAATTTGAAATTTATAAAATAGAAATTTACCGAAAAAGCAAGATCCTGACCACGCCAAACCCAAATTCCACTGATAGTACTGTCATTGTCAGTACCAAACAGGCATGCGCTAGCAAAAGCAGCCTTTCTCATTTTATCCAAACGTTGATACATTCCACTAATAAGGTTACAGGACATAAACACCTGAAAATTGACAATTATTATTATTATTGTGTTACAGAAAATAGTAAATAGAAATTAAAAACAAAATATCTAAAATTTTAATACTAAAACAGATTTTTCAAAAACCAAAAAAATATATACCTTCGTCAATTCATCGTTGTATTTGTATTCACCGAACCAGATACTATAATTTGCGGGATCGAATTTCTCCCAGAAATAAGGAATAGATTTTGCTTCATCCTCATTGGAATAGAAACGTTTAAAATCTTCCATGTCAAAAGTACCTTTCGGCATGGCGTCAAATGGATTAGAACTCTTGGGTTCAGCTGCCAATACAGCATCAGCAGCGTCAAGTTCTTCAGCTGGTTCACTCTCCTTCTTGGGTTTTGGTTCCTTGGGCTCCTTCTCTTTCTTTTCTTTTTTGCCAGTCTAAGAATCATATTTTTACAAATTAACAATATTGTCTTTAAAATAGATTTACAAATAATTCAACATATTTTCAAAAAAATCTATACTAACCTTTCCTTGACTTTCGGCGAATTTCTTGGGGTCATATTCCAAAGCTTTATCAGCCAATTTAAAGGCACCAATTACGGCAATGGATTCTGGTTGATAAATAACAGTTTGGAACCAACGATTAACATTCTGATAAGGCTTGCGTTGACTTGGCTCTAAAACGTATTGATAAAGATTCAAGAGAGTCATTGCTACACTAATGTCAGCCAATGTCAAACGTTCTCCAACCAAATATGTGCGCGTAAGCAAATGTGTATTCAAAGCCGTCAATGCTTTTTTCACATCTTCTTTTGCATTATCCACTGCCTAAAAAAAGAAGAATAATTTGCATAAACATAAAATTAACAAAAATTCCAATAAATTTCAAAACAAAATTAAATTAAACAATAATTATTTATACGCAAGCATTAAATAATATCCATAAGAAAAAATTAAGATATTTATTAAGAATGCGTGCCTCAATTATTTTTTCTCCGTTCGTTACGAACGATGAAACGTAATTTTCCATAGTTCGCCTTTGGAGGAGATTTAGTAATACATGTACATAAAAAAAAATTATGAAATTTTCTGTTAAAAATTCCAAGTAAATGCTTAATTAACAAAAAATTAAATATACCTGCTTGTTGTACTGCATAATTCCTAACAAAGGAAATACCCACGCGCAACTGGCTGGCAAAATTTCAGAATCAGCGAATCCAAACCATTGTATAACCTCGGCTCGTTCAAGATCCGTCTTACCTCTAAGTTGCTCGTTTGCAACTGTTACATAAAAAAAAAAAAATTTATGTCAAAATTTTAATAAGAAAATAAATTTTTAAAAAGTATAATAACTTACCGTAGAATGCAATAGCATTACTTTCAGTAAGACACTTTCCATCATTGGTCTCGAAAGCTGGCACCTAAACAAATTCAATTTTATCTTAATTTGACAAAATCACTCGATAGATATTATCTTTACTAAATAATTTATTAAACTTTTTATAAGTTTGTTTATTGATATTTTATTTATGTATTTTTATTACTCGATACGTAACAAAATGTAAAATTGAAAATATTTACTAATAACTTTAATAATCATCCATTTAAATTTTAAACTCCCCCAGACAGTAAATATAAAATGTTAAAGAACATAATAGCCTCGAAATCTATAAATAAATACATGCAGACACATATAATCGATAGATATATAATTATTAAAAATTTCAATTATTATATCCTATAACGGTCAAAATTCAAAGGATCGTTTTAAATAATATGTACATTAACCGTCATATTTTTGAGTAATTTAAAAAAAAAATCTTACTTTGCATATATAGCACGAATCTGACGTAAGTATGCCATGAAATTGAGTGCAATTTTATCGCGAAACTAAACAATCTTTATGAATAAAATTCTATTCAATGAAATAATATCAACTAAATAATGTGAAATTAAAACAATAAATATTTAGAAACTTTTAAACAGTAACATATGTAATGTGTCAATTATTTGAAAAATTACAACTTTATGAAAAACTTTATAAAGAAAAAATAAAGTTAAAAATAATATATTAGAAAAAAGAATAGAATAAATAATAATTTAAAAAAATCACCTTGCCAAGGGGGAATTTTTTCAAAAAATCCTTGGATTTGTTAGTCACACCAAATTCAAAATTATCAGCGATCTTGACCTGGGCCCCAGAGTATTGGGCAGCAATCAGGGCCTTGTAGGCACGGAAATTATCCGGGTATGTGTATAGAGTCTGAAAGAAATAGAAGTCATTTTGAATGTGCTATGGTTCAATTAGAATCACTCATCAGTCCTACATCGATAATGATGCATTTTGATGGCGATGTTAATGGATGAAAAAGTCGCGTGGACTACACTTACACCAGACGCCATTGCAACGTTTACACAGCAGTTTACAGGAAGAGGAAATTGAAGGCCGGTATGAGACTATGAGATCTACTTTGTTCTATGGTTTATTCTTTACTCAATCTGCTTTATCTACTCAAAACTTTCTTTTCCTTTACGACTGCTTAGAGTGACATCTGAATATTGAACGAAAAAGTTAAGTTAAGGAGAGATTTTTTAAAAATTTTGCTACTGTAATTCTTCATAAAAAAATTGCAAAACTAGAAAAATATTTATAATTTACATTATTTGTGATCGTGTATAACAAAATAATCAAACTAAATATATTATTTAAAATAATTAATTAATAATAAAAAAAAAATGAATAAAATAATATACAGCAGATGGCGCTGTCTACTTCTTCTAAAGCTTCAAAATATCTGATTGGTGGAAAAGATTTCAAAGCTGCCAAATTATTGAAAAAAAACAAATGAAATTCAATAGTGAATAATTTCAGATTAAAGAAAAAAATTATAAACAAAATTTTTAATCAGTTTGTTATATATTTATGAATAATTTAAAAATACAGTTAACGATAAGGGTTTTTTCTTTTTCAAGAAAATGAAGAAATTAAGAAAATTATCCTGTATTGGTAGCATTGGATCTAGTAGAAGAATGGGAAGTATACCAAAAAAAGAGACAGAAATATTAAACATGGCGGCATTAAAAGATGTAAGTTCTTTATATCAAAATTTAAAACAAGAATGGACGAAAACTCCGTGTAATTTAAAAAAATGCGGAGAATTACTTAATCAATTAAAGGTATGTCATTCTATATATAATGTTATTTTTCACTACAAATATTATTTTATGTCAAACTAACCTTACTTTTTAGACTGTCAAAATGAATTGTCATGTTCCATTAAAGGCATTTTCTTTCAGTAGACAATAATTTTTATATTTAGAATTTAAAAAATTGTGAATTTATTGTTTAAATTTTGATATAAAACAAATTGAAAATATTTTTTAATGTAAATTTCATTTTAAAAAATGATCGTCATTGTCTTACGAGGTTTAGGTATTTTATAAGATATTTTTGTTTCAGGTCGGATTAACTCATTTAACATTTCTACCTACTTCAAATAATAATGCGTCACAAAAAGAATTACTTATTGCACGTTAGTATTTTTTTTAAATTTATATTTCTAGGATTAAGTTTTATTTTTTTGTTACATTTAATTTTGTATACAAAACATTAATCATGAAAACATAAACAACTTATTATCTTCAAATTTGTTTAAGAAATCATTTTTAAAATTACAATTAAATTCAAAAAAAAAAAAAATAAATAAAAAATGAAGTTTTAAATATAATAATTAATTGAAGGAGTTTTTTTTACAGGTGACATTCTTGAAATTGGAGTACAATGGAGTATAGCAATGGAAGATATTCCATCGTTCGAGCGTTACATGGCTCAATTAAAATGTTATTATTTCGATTACAAATCAAGATTATCCGAATCTGCTTATAAATATCAATTGCTTGGTTTAAATCTCTTATTTTTATTGTCGCAAAATCGAGTAGCTGAATTTCACACAGAATTAGAACTTTTGCCCTCTGACCAAATTCAATCGAATGTCTATATTAGACATCCATTGAGTTTAGAGCAATGTTTAATGGAAGGTTCGTATAATAAAATTTTCTTAGCAAAAGGAAATGTACCGGCGACTTCATATAATTTTTTCATGGATATTCTTCTCAATACTGTACGTGATGAAATTGGAGCCTGTATGGAAAGTGCATATGATAAAATATCCGTGAAAGATGCATCGAGAATGTTAAATTTAAATGCAGAAAAAGATACAATGGCATTTGCGACTAAGAAAAATTGGAAATTATCGAAAGACGGACACTTTCATTTTAGTACTCCAAGTGAAAAGAAATCTGAGGAACCAATACCAAGTTCAGATTTGGCAACACTTGCAATAGATTATGCCAGGGAACTTGAAATGATTGTATAAAAAAAAAAAAAAAAAACTAATGCTTTTTTTACAGTAACACAATTTTCTGATTTCATCTGTTTTTATTTTCTGTAAGTTAAAAAAAATAAACATCTCATTTATGTAATCGTATTTCGATAATAATGACAAAAGTTAAATCTTTTTTTTCCTACCGTTTAACAACTTAATTTTCATAATTTATTACATATACTTATTTTAAGGACAAGATAATTATTGTTCATATGAAATTATTTAATTGCTATATAATTGTTTTAATAATTTATAGAATTACTTTTTAATTTGAATTAAATTACTAGAAACATTTCTTTATTCCACAGTTTTAAATTTCTACAAATTGAAAATATTTTTAAACTTCTTAATATTCTTTCACTGTTTTCTTTTAATTTTTTTTTCTTTCTTTTTGAACTAATGAAAATTAATAACTCGACCAATTGCGCCAAAAAATAAATAATTATGTCTATAATTAATTAATTTTTAATTGCGCAAGCGTGACATAAATGACGAATAATTCTAATTAGTTGAAAATGGCGCACTTTATATAAAATCACGATAAACAATTATTTAAATATTAAAAAATTAAGTAAACAAAATATTCTATTTTTGACACAATATTAATATTTTAAGATACTTTAAAGTAATTGTCGAATAATTGTTTATTAATATTTTTAACTTTCTTTATCTTTAAATTAACAATAAAAAAAATGGATATTTTGATTCGCGATTGCGCAGTTATAAAATGCGTTTCTTTTGACATTCGCCACTACTATCAGGTTTACAGTGGCGCTGCGATCGTTCATTATCAATCAGTCATAATTTAAGAAGCAGTGCGATGGCGGCTGATTCTTGCTGATAAAAGTTTACTTGTTGACATTCTTGGTCGATTTGAAACAAAATATTACGCAACTCGTGCTAGTCTCGCTCTTTTGAAATCTTCTAATGAACGCGTTTCGTGAAAATACATTATCAATTAATTTGCTAAACACAATTTTCATACAGGATTCGTGTCAAAAAGAAAATGTACTCACAACTCAACGACACTTAATAGAATCAAAAGAGCGCATTATGTCAGCTTGTTTGTACTTTAAATGAAGTGCAGTGTTGTTTTTATTTTTCTCATTAACAAGATTAATGGATATAAATATTGTTTGTATAAAAAATTCATGTTTTAATTGTTGAATTTGACAGTTGAGTGATTTATGTAGATGAATATTTTGTGCTTTATTTGTGATATGGAAAGAAACTTTTCAAAAACGAGTTCACGATTGTTGATTTGATTTTTAAGTATATAATTAATTCACTATTTTGAGGGAGAATGGCAATTCGTATAACTCTCGAGTGTGGCCATACATCAGAATTACGTGCCCAAAGGACTCCAGAAGGTTATACGCACGATTGGCAAGTTTTTATACGAGGGGTTGACAATGCTGAAATTCATCAATACATTGAAAGAGGTACAGTTTTAATTATTGTTTGTTTATTTATCTTTCTATTTTTATATGGTAACAATGTATTTTATTATTAATTTATTTATCTGTCAATTTAAATATTTTCCATTAAATAAAGAAAATATTTAGGTTAATATATTTTTACCAAATAATTGAAATTTTCATTGAGCAATTAAAACATTAATTATCTAATATTCGTTTATATTTTAGTGCCACGTTTTATTTCAATACACTGTAACAATCAAATAGGAAATAATTGTGAAATTCTATCTTTACATTAATTTGTTCTTTTTTTCTATTTTAATCATTGATTTCGGAAACATATGGGTTAATATTTAATTTATGTGAATTAAGTAAATATTTTATCATTTTATTAACGTTAGTTTCTTAAACTTTTTAATTTATGATAATAAGAGAGTAAAGATTTGCTTTATTTTTTATTTTTTTTTTACAGTTTTTTGAATTACAATTTAAATGTATATATGAAATATTTATTTTATTGATTTAAAAACAAATTTATGTTTATAGAATTTTATGTTTTTGTTTATTTATTTATTTATAGCAAAAAATGTTAGTCATATTATACTATTGAAAAATATGATATAGTTTGATTTCATTAAATCAATTTAGAATATTTGTTTAAACTGCTTTTAAAATTTTTGTATGCATTTATCAAGTTTTATGCCTAACATTGTGTTGTTTATTTCAGAAAAATCGATTTTAAAAATTAAAAAATAAAATTTATTTTCAAAGACTTATGTAGTGACGACACATTACTTTTTATGATTTCATAATTATTTATTTGTTTCCGAATTCAAACGTAAATAAAGTTTAGTCAATTTTTTAGTAACTTTTGTGTCAACATTTTAAAGTACAAAATTAATTTTAAGTAACTCCTAGAACCCGTTTGCAGTAGTTGAAACAACACAAAAAGTAACATTGAAAAACTACTAATAACTTCGTTCAACACTTCATAAATAATAATTAAAAGGTATTTATGTTTGTAATTAAAAGATTAAACAACAATATTTTGGAGAAAATACGCGTGCAAATGTAACTTAAATCTGATAATACTGTATGTATTATTTATTACGATTATTACTTTCTTTTTTTGCAAATTTATATATTGATTTTTAAATTTTATGGTTTAGTAACATTTTGTTATCAACAAAATTTTATGAAATTCAATTCTTTTTTTTTTTTAGAAAATAATTTTCCTTTTTCGATTAAAAAATTCAAATGCAAATGTGGGTCAAAATGGAAATAATTGCCACCCCCTGGATCGAGAGATAAATATAGTTTCACTCTACTCTTCCTTCTTTTTTTTCTATCATTTAACTTGCCTAAAGTTTCAGAGGCTATAAAAAACTAAATTTTTTTAGATACGTTAATTTTTATATTTTATCATCTATCAGATTGAATTTTTATTTAAATTTTTTTTTTATTTTGTAATTTATATTATCAGATTTAAGTCATACGTTTTTCACATTCACTTTTCACGCATTTATTAGTTTTTTTTTTTAATCAATTTTTGCAATAAGTGTGATTAGCACAAAATTGTATTTCACTTTATGATGTGACACAAAATAAAATTTAAATTAATATAATTTGAATTTTTGCACATTTTACGTTTCTTTTTTTAAATTAATTTGTATTTTTTTTAGATAAGAAACTTAAAAACAGAAAAAAATTAATTTTATTGTTACAAAAGAAACATTATATTTAAAATAATGTTTTACTTATTTTATTTTCTTCTAATCAACTGATTGTGTGTGTATGTGTGTGTGTGTCAATAATAGAATCGAATTGTTATCAAGTGAATAAATATTTTAAGAATGTAAAATAAACGCTACTTTTCTTCTAATAAATTTTCTTTTAAGTGATTTACAATAAAGCGACAAAATTAATTGTACAATTTTGTATTCGTTTACAAATTTTCTTTGTGTAAAAAAAATATTCTGTTATTTTATAAATATATAAACTCATCGTCAGCAGGAGTGTGCTTTTTTTTAAGGTACATTCTTGATTGTGATATATATTTTTATTAATTTTACAATTTTCTTTTCAGTTGTTTTTCACCTTCACGAGACATTTCCTAAACCAAAAAGGGTCGTAAAGGAGCCTCCATATGTAGTGAAAGAATCGGGTTATGCCGGATTCGAAATTCCAATTGTTGTTTATCTGAAAAACAAGGATGAACCAAAGAGATTCCATTTTTCTTACGACTTGAATCTTCAACCCAGTGGTCCAGCGATAAATAAAGTCGTGTTACATAGCGAAAATTTTCCTAATCCTAATGATGAGTTTAGAAAAAAACTTCTTAAAGGTGGAGCCGTAAGTTTCCTGTTCTTTTTTTTATCAAATTATATAACATAAATTAAAGATTAATATTAAATTTATATTTTCTTATTCAACAATTATTATTTATTTTAAGGTCATGGTAACTAATTCAGAAGGAACACCCGAAAAAAGTAAAGTTACTCCTCTAATGGTAGGTAAACCTAAATTAAGTGGGACCGAGGGGAAGAAGTATAGAATGTCAGAGCCAAAGGGATCAAATGCTTTTGCTGATTTATTTGGACCTCCAATAAAGACTGCGGGGACCAAAGTTTCCCCTGACACGAAAAAGCCTTCGTCGTCAACATCATCATCATCTTCATCATCATCATCGGATAAAACTAGCAGTATAAAACTCTCGTCCTCGGAAAAAATCGAGAAAAGTGACAAAAGTTCAAAGGCAAAGCATAGTCCGCACAAGGATGGAAAGAAGGAGAAAAATTCCGAGGAGAGAAAAGAAAAGAAGGATAAAGATTCATCGAAGGAGAAAGAGAAGAATAAAGAAAAATTAAAGAAATCTCAAAGTCCAACAAATAAAAGTAGTCACACAAGTAGTCCAGGAACTAAGAGACCGGCTTCACCCTCGCCGATAAAAAAGCCATCGACTCCTCCACCATCACAGCCATCGAAACGGCCACCTTCTCCAAAACCACGTGACAAGGAATCGAAGAAAATCACTCAAGAAAAGGACAAAGAGAAGGAAAAAGAAAAAGTTAAAGAAAGTTCTAAAAATACATCAGATGATTCTCGAACCGAGAAAAAGAAAGATAAAAAGAAACACAAAGAGGAAAAAGAGAAGGAGAAGAAAGATAAGCACAAGGACAGAGAACGCGACAAGAGTAAAGATTCAAAAGATACGAAAAATATTGAGAAAAAAGTCATTGATAAATCAGAGAAACCCGAAAAAATTGAAAAGGAAAAAATAACACAAGAATTCAAACAATCGAAAGATGGAAGAAAATCACCGAAACCTATAAAAGAAATGGAAAAATTATCTAAAGAAGAAAAACCACCAAAATTGGAAAAAATGGAAAAAACAGAAAAAATTGAAAAATCAAAAGATTCCAAGGACTCTAAAGAGAAACACAAAAGTAAGCACAAAAAACGTGAGAAAAAAGATAAACGTGATGGTAGCAAAGAAAGAGATAAAAAAGAGAAACGCGACAAAAATAGAAGTTCAAGTGAAAAACCCAATAATAATGTTTCCATTCCACGAGTAACACCAGTGACAACGAATCCACTTTCAACTCTCTTGGCAGAAATGCCCGATAGAGATAGCAGTGATTCTGCTCCTTCTCTAGACGATGAACCCATAATAACAGAACCAAAACCCATTACAACAATCAAAAAAGAACCACCCGCATTAATAGCAACGGCAGCAGCAACCGTTTCTAATGAATCAAAACCAATAATGTCCCCACCACCTGTTAGTGATAAGAAAAATCGTAGCGATCGAACAAAACGTGAAAAATCCTCAAAGGGCAATCGCGAAGAAAAGGAGACAAAAAAACGAAAACGAAGAAGCGACAGTAAAGGTGATGATGAACGAGCAATTAAAAAAGAGAGAGATCAATCTGCTTCACCACTCGTCGAGCCAGTGTCATCGAGTCAATCACCAATTGCTGTTGATATGGAAAATGTTCATCATCAAAAAATTAAAGAAGAAGGTGCCTCAAGAAAACAAACGACAGCAACAACAGGCAAAGGAAGTGAAGGCGAAGCAGAACAAGTTGCGCCCGATTCAACAAATAGCACACTAGTTGAACCAGAAACAGCTGATACTTCCTCATTTTCACAGGAATATGTATCACAATTAAAAGATCTACAACATAAAATTATGACGATCGAGGACAATCAGGAATTGCAGAGACTTGTCGAGGTTATTGCAGAAACAGGCCAGTATGAAGTTACAAAGAAAACATTTGACTTTGATCTTTGCGCATTGGATCGAAGGACAGTGCAACGTTTGCAACAATTTTTCGCGTCGTGACCACCCATTTCACGTTGAATGGATGTGTGTATTATGATGTACTGTATAAAAAGCTATATAATATATTTGATCACTAACATTGTTTAATAATAATGTTAAAGATTGTATTGCGTCAAAGTGAACACGCGCGCGTTTGATTATGTGGCATTCCTTGCGAAAAGGAAGAATCTCAAATTATATTTGGTTTATTTATTATTATTATAATTATTATTTTTTTTATCTCATTGCATAATCTATTTAATAGTAAAACTTGGAGATGAAACATTCTTAAAATTTTGTTTTGAACAAAATAGTAAAAAAAATTTATTTTCAGCAAAAATTAAAACAATTAATACATTGAATATAGACTTTATATTTATGTTAATCTTTTAAATTAAAAACTACATTGTTAAAAAGATTAAAATAATTTTTTTTACTAATTAAATAAGTTTCTTAAATTTTTTTTTTTTAATTAATATTAACATATTGTCAACAAAAATTCAATGATTTTAAAAAATTAAAAATTTTATTTTTAATTCAATTTTTTTTTGTATATAATTAATCATTTTAAGTAAGAAAAAATTAAATATTGTATTTTAAAAAAAGATAAATGTAAAAAATAATTGAATTGCAAATTAATTTTTATTTAGAGTAATTGAATTTTTAGTCGACATAATGTTTTCTCTATTTCATTTTAAGCAAATAAAAAAATTGTTTATTTTCAACATGAGTTGAATTATAAATTGAACATAATTATATTATTAATATTTCAAAGTAGAGAAAATAAATTTTTATTAGTTTATCACGTTTTTCCAAGTATAATTTATAAATCTTGTAAATTAATTTCAGAATTAAAATTTATTTTTAATTTTTTGTAAATTCAAATATTAATTTTAAATTAGAAAAAATAATTCAATTTGCATCATAATAAGTAAATTTAAAAAAAAATAGGTTTTTTAATTTAAGTTAAAAATAAAATTCTTTTATTATATGTTCAATACAAAATCTCAGATTACACATTAATAATTTCATTAGCAATCTTCATCTTTATTTTTCTCTATTAGCCCTAGAAGGAGTAACTGAATTTACTCATCCTCTAAGGGGTAACTGCTGTATATACTATATACCCCCAACTTGAAACTTGTGTAAAAAGGTTTATATTTTACGTAAAACAAATTTTATACAGTCTTTTTATATTGGTTTTTTAGTCAGGAAAACAACGGTTTCATTCATTTTTTAATAAAGTAAAAAAATTGTAAAAAAAACTTGTAAAAACAAGAACAAAAAATGGGAAAAATTAAAAATTTTTTTTTTTAGTTATTCTTTCTAGTGGTAGAACATTGAAATTTGACTACATTTGAGTATTATTGAAATAATGTTAGATTTTGCATTGAAATGCTTTTTTTATTTTTAATATCGTTAACTGAATATAATATACTGAATTATGCAAATATCGATTGATTTCACGTTTGCATGTTTGATTTTCTTATTGCTTGCAAAAATGCGTTAAAAAGCAAATTAAATTCGCTTGCGAAAATTGAAAAGATTTTAAAGAACCTTTTTTTTCATATATTATATTAGTATTTTGAGGAATTTTACAGTAAAGTAAAATGAAAGTTTGTAAAAGTTCAACACTGATAAATTTTGTTTTTGAAACTATTCACACACATTCAGAAAATATTTATTAAAATGATATTTTAATAAATAAGAGAAATATTTCTCAAACACTGCGCTGAGAATTTATTGTTTAAAAATACATTTAATTAACATTATAATTAAACTCAGTAAATTAAAATAATTTTATTTAAATTCTTAAAATACATTTTTTTTTGCAATGATATCAAACAAAGAATACAATGTTATAAAAAATATATTGTGATATCATTGTTCAGAAAATTTTTCTTTAAAAACATATAAAAATACTGATCAATTTTGAGAGTTTTTTTTTAATGAGAATAGTTTCAAACTTTTATAGTAATAATTTTTTGAAAATTATGAAGTTTCTTGTTTAGAAAAAAAAAAAATTTTATTTGGAAAATGTGTTTACAATTTCAAAACTAAAATATTGTATGTCAATAAATTTGATGTACAACTTTTTGTGAAAAATAACTTCTCGTTTTTTGCAACTTTTTGAGAAAAAATAACATTTCAGAGTACAATAAAAATTATTTTAAATATAAGAGGCAAAAAATTAAAAATAAACGAAAATTGAAAAAGAAAATTTTTAATCGCGCATGAAATTAGAATTCTATTCTTTAAAATCTTTTCGATTTCTACGATATTTTAACAGAAATAATCACAGATTAATTCGAAATAATATTAAAAGTGAAAATAGACCAAATTAGAGAATTGAATTTTCCTTTTCAAATGTAAAGCTTCATAACGGTTATTTTGCTCTTATTATTTTTATGATTATTATTATAATTATATATATATATATATTAAAAAAAATTTGAATACTACTCGTTATTACTGCCAGGTTTACTTTAAAAAGTAAGGTTTTAAAATTGCGTATAATATATTGTTTTATTGTCATTTACACAATAATATTACGTGTACTTTGTTATAGGAATTACAAAAAATGCAATTGTATGTTGAAAATATTCAAAAGAAATAGATATTTCGTTATTTTTATTATAAAATACGAATTTCTTAATTTTTTATTTGTAATTCTTATATTATTATTATTATTTTTTTGTTTTGTTTTAGTAGTGAATAAGAATCGAGAATCATGACTTAAAAAACTCTGATTTAAATTAGAAATATAATTATATTATAGTAACTTCGAGTGATTAATCGCTAAGATTAGATAAATTTATAATAATCTATATTTTTCCTTAATTTAGAAATTCAATTATATTTCAAGTCGAATAATTAGCTTTCTCAAATGTATTTATTTAATATATTTTCTATCACATCGAATGTGATAATTAGAAATTTATTGACTTCACAATAATAATAATAATATCAAATAGAAGAATTTTCAAGATTCACATTCTTTTGTACAAAATAACTTAATTTAATTCATTATAATTCTAAATTTTGTACGATAATATTTTTGCAAAATTTAATTTTTATTTTTAAGAAATGTTAATAATGCATCTCCAGTGATTCAACTGCTATATTACATTTTTTGTAAATCTACAAAATGTAAATTTATAATATTGATGAGAAATAAGTCACAGACACGTAGTATTGAAATTTTAAAACCCTTGTTAAAAAACACAAAAAAACACTTTTTTCCGTTTATTTTCAAAATCATATTATTGAACAATTTACAATAATGGGATAAAAATCTCCAAAGATATTTATGTCGTGCACGAGAAAGCGGGTGTTATTATTATTATTATTATTATTATTTTAATTGCAAGCAAATTAATAATAAAAAATATTGTGAAATATTTTGTCGTGATTCGTTTGTAATTTTCCTATAATCAATTTGTTAACACTATTTTGTAAAATGAGCATACATATGTTAACAACAAACTGTTGCATTAAAAGAGATTGACCAAAATCAAAAAATGAAGAGTACTTAGATCTTCTTGCGTATAAATATGTGAAACATAATTTGGACAAATTTTTGCAGTCTTCTAAAATAGCGCCAAAACAATAATTATTTATATATAAATAAATATGACTAGAAGGCATTAGATAGGATCAATCTTTTTAATACAAAAAAAAAATAGAAAGTATAATATTGTATTGTCAGTGAATATCGATTTTGTACATCTTCTCAAAGTTTTCTCACGAAACTTTATTTTATAGAAAACTTTTTCCTACTAAATGATATTATATATAATTAATTTTTTTTTTTTTTTTTTTTTTTTTTTTGAGAAAAAAAATGATTCCTTATGAAATTATTTTTAAAAAAAAATTATTTGTAAACATGGTGTCTAACGGTCAAGGAAAGTCAGGGAAACGTTAGGGAATTTTGTTGGTCAGGGAAATGTCAGGGAAATTTCTGTAAATTTCTACAAAAATTAAAATTTTTTGTGAATTTAAAAATTTTTTAATCTAAAAAAACTTGAATGGTTTTTATTACCATTTGTTACTACTATTAGAAATTAATTTATTTTTAATAAATGGGAGGAGTCATGGAAAAGTCAGGGAATTTTTTTCTCAATCCTTGTTAGACACCCTGGTAAAACAAATTATTCTTAAATGAAACGAATTTAATAATTCTGATATATATATATATAATATAAATAATTAATAATGTTTCCAGTGATGATGATTTGTTATAATATAGAAATGCTATAATGTCCATCAATTTTATATTAATTTAACAGAATTAATTACAGGCTGTGATATAGTTAAAAAAAAAAAATGTTTTTCACTCTTTGCTTTATATTCTGATTCGAGATTTTCTAATTGCAGCAGTCTGTGCGTATCATCAAAAATAATATTATTAATACATTTTACACATTATATATATATATAATAGTGATCATCATTTAACCAAATTGTTGTCATGTGTTTTTATCACAAAAAGAAAATGATTTCAATTGAAAATATTGTTTCTTACTCCATAAAATGTGATTTACTTGCTTTGTAATTACAATTATTATTATTATTATTATTATTATTATTATTATTATTATTATTATTATTATTATTATTATTATTATTATTATTATTATTATTATTATTATTATTATTTCTAAAATCATTTATTATATCCATAATCCTCTGAGGTTTTTTTTAAATATGCTTGAGCTTTGAATTTTGTGAGAATATTTTCAGTTATAATTGTTTTAAAATAAACGTATATCTATATATTATGTACGTAACGAATTTGTATACGTATTTTGTTAACAGTAAAAGGCAAATGGCTTTTTTCATTTTAATGAACAAATTTTTTTAATTAAAAAAAGAATAACTTTTTATTTACAAATTTCTTTACAATAAACTGATTTGTTTGGAAAATGATCTTAATAGCAAAACTGGATTCAAATAATGAAAAAGTGAAAGTACTTTTTACAAAGTAAATATGAAATAAATAACATATCAGATCATCATTGTTAAAATTGAAGAGAAAATGACAAGAAAGAAAAAAATACGAAAAACGTGAATAATTATAAAATGCATAATGATAATAATAATATAGTAAATATTAATAATAAAATACAGTACCTAAATAATAATAGTACATAACAATTTTTAATACATTCAGTATTCTATATTGTAAAATTTTTTCTCAAATAAAAATAGAATGCTATTTTTACAATAAAAACCATTTTTGCAATTAAGATTTTTCCATATATATATTGTAAATGTAATAATTAAAATATCATGCGATTGATTCTATGTATTGTGAATCACTGTTTATATTTATTTCTGTTCATGTATAGTAATTTATACATATACATATATATAATAAAATTGTAAAATTTTTAACTTAATGTATGAAATCATAATCAATTATAATTTTTCTAAATTATAATATGCGGATATATATTATAATATGATTTTTATATTTACAATTTGTTAAATATGTTATAATTTTATAACTAGTGTTTTTACAGCAAAGTTTCGTAAACATTAAAAATAAAATCACAATAAGTTTCAATCAAAATATATTTTGACATTTATTATTATTATTATTATTATTATTATTATTATTATTACTATTATTATAAATCTTAACCAAGAAGATTTTTAAATACTTTTGCAATTTTCGTCAAAATGATATTATTGCTTCTCTTGAAATAATTAATATACTTAATGCGGAATTGTGAATTATAAATTAAAAAATTGTCTTTAGATGTAATTTTATAAGAAATTTGTGAAACTTATGGCTCTTTAATAAAAAGTGATAATGTAGTGACATTTTCAGAGATTTAGTTTTTCTTTTCTTTTAGTTTATATATAGTTATATAAAAATTAATTTTATATCTATTATTTATTTCTTATGTAGCGAAATTTTTGTAAATATTAGTAGTCAATTTTTTATAATTATTATTTTCTATTTAATAAAAAAATACAATATTTATTTTAAAGTACAAATAGAATTTTATAAAATTTTAATTTTTGGTGCTATAACTTTAATGAATTGAATCATATTTGCGAGCAGGTGGCGCTACTTGTTAAAGTCATTTTAAAATATATTCTTATTAATTATTATCTATTTAATATTATTAATAAAATTTGAAGTAAATAAATTTTTTTAATTTATTGTCTAAATAATATTTCAATTTAAAAAATGCAAATAATATTCCATAAGTAGTAAGGAATAAATATAAATAGAGAAAAACTGTCATGGCTGACGTGTCATCACTAACCTAGTTTAACCTATCAGCTGTCACTTTCAAAAAAGAAATTTTAAATGTCAAAATAAAAAATGTTTTATGTTATAGCAGTGTAGATTATATTAATTATTAATATTAATCAGTCAACAAGGATCGTTATCTTTAATTAACATTGTTGTTTTATAAAAACGAAAAAAAGTATAAATGTGTCAATAAGAAGTGAATAATTTATCTTTTTATTTTTTGTTTTGTTGACCTTTGCTCAGATAAATTTAACATTTTGCTCAGTCATTTATAAATTCTTTTTCAGTTGATAATTAAGTCTTGTTTCTGAAAACATTAAATCTTAGTTAGAGAACTTTTGATTATGTCCAACAAAGTGAGATTTGATGGTCGTGTGGTTATTGTAACCGGTGCTGGAGCAGGTATAGTTAATAGTTAATGATTTTAAGTTTATTCTTTACTATTTATTAATTTAAATAAATTTTACATAACATTAAATAATTAAAGATAATAATAACTTTTTATGAATATAGGAAATCGTTGCGAATTCCTCAACATAACCTTAATTTGCTTTAAAAATGAAATATGTATTTATATGTTTAAATATGAGTAATAAAAAATTCTTATAATTTAGATTGATTAACGATTTTTTCTGAATATTATATTATTAGATGCATTATGTTATTAAAGAATATAAAAATATATTTTTATCATTTTTTAAGTATTGAATTGTATTTGTAAATATATTCTGCATAATTTCGAGATAGTTTTCTTTTTTTATACAGGTATCCTAGGTATTATATTATTAATCGTTCATTTATTTCTACATTACTTTTAAATATTGCAAAAAATTGATAAGATAACAATCATCTGTTGACTTCGAGAGAGTATAAATACATATAAATAAATATATAATCAGTTAAATAATTGACATTTTTTCGCTTTTATAAATTTGTTATGATTGCTTATTTTTTCAGGACTTGGACGAGCTTATGCATTATTATTTGCATCAAGAGGTGCTAGCGTTGTTGTTAATGATTTAGGTGGAGGTCGACATGGCGATGGAAGTAGTACAAAAGCTGCTGATGTTGTCGTTGATGAAATACGAAGAAATGGTTTGTTTTTTTTTTAATTCTGAAATAAAAACATAAATAAATTTTAAAATTATTGAAATTTTTTTTAATTAAGTTTTTTTTTATTAATTTTTAAAATCTTCTGCAGGAGGCAAAGCTGTTGCCAATTACGATTCTGTGGTGGACGGTGAAAAAGTCGTGAAATCTGCAATTGACGCATTTGGACGCGTTGACATTGTCATTAACAATGCTGGTATCTTACGAGATAAATCATTCATGCGAATGTCAGATACTGATTGGGGTTTGTATTGAATTATATAAAAATTTTGATGAACTACAATTAATTTTTAAATTAAATTCATCGCTTTAATGAAATAAAATTGAATTTTCAATTAGATAGTAATTTTTCATAAATAAATGTAAAAATCTGTAATTTTTTTTTCTTGATAAAAAATTGAAGGATTAAATTAAAAATAATTATAGATCTCGTGCATAGTGTTCATTTAAAAGCTGCTGCAAAAATAACTCAAGCTGCTTGGCCCTATTTTCGAAAGCAAAGTTATGGTCGTGTAATAATGACATCAAGTCACAGTGGAATTTATGGAAATTTTGGACAAGCTAATTATAGTTCAGCAAAAATGGGTTTAATTGGTTTAGCAAATACTTTAGCACTTGAGGGAGAAAAATACAATATTCATACAAATGTCATTGTACCAACAGCCGCTTCACGTCTCACCGAAGACATTCTTCCTCCTGGTAACTATTCATTAAAATTTATAATTTATTTACGTATCGTTAAAATTTTTTTACCAAAGTCTCTGAAATGAGGGATTTTTAAAAAAAAAAAAGAAACTGTAAATTAAATATCAAAATTTTATTAGCGAGTTTTTAAATAAAAAAGAAAAAAATTATAGGCAGGAAAAATAGAAAATTAATAATTAGAAAAATATGAAATTATTTACTTTTGGCAATTTAGTTATTTATTTTAATATAAATTTAATAAAAACATTACAACTTCTGAGTATAATAAATTGTCGTAGATTTATTTACGGCTTTGAAACCAGAGTTGATTGCACCGGTAGTGGCATGGTTATGTCACGAGGATTGTTCAGATAATGGATCTATCATTGATGCAGCGGCCGGTTGGTCAGGAAAAAGTTAGTTAATATTTTTGTTTTTATATCTTCGACAAAATGAAAATAAATTCATTGTTGTTGTTTTTTTTTACCACAGCTCAAGTAATTCGTTCGTCGGGTTGTATTTTGCGCAAGAATTTAAATGAAATGGTTACACCTGAGAATGCCCGAGATAATTGGGAAACTGTCACCGACATGTCTCAAGCGAAACATTTGAATTCAATTGGAGTAATTTCATTAGAAATATCAGATAATTTTTTAATTATGAATTATATGACATTTAAACGTTTCTTTTTTTTAGGAAGCCACAGGCGAACTTATAAACGCTCTCGACGAAATGAGGGAAGGAAAAAGTGGTGTAAGTTTACTTTTTTTCGCAAATTTTCTTTAGATGAAATCTTTTTTTTTATTAAAATGAAGAATTAATAAATTTACAGGGTCCAATTCATAGATGTCATTACGATAAACGGGATATTATTCTTTATGCTCTTGGAGGTAAAATTTTACAGAAAACATTAAAAAGAACTTAAAAGAAGTTAATTGAATGGGTATATGAAACAGATTGTCAATAATGAAAATTGTTTTTAGTTGGTGCAACTACACAAGAATCTTCGGATATGTGTTACCTCTATGAAAATCATGAAAATTTCTCTGTTTTACCAACATTTTTCGTTGTTTTTGGAACATCTGGTTCAACAATTCCAATATTTGAAAATGCTCTACCTGAAGGAGTGCAACTTGATCCATCCAGGGTTTGTTTATCATTCTTGTATTGAAATTTATTATGTATTTTATTTATTCAATTTAATCTTAAATAGAAATAAATTTAAACAATTTTCAAATATAATTAAATAATAATGAAAAATATAGTTTAATATTAAATTATTTTATAGAAATGTAAATAGTTTGTTTTCTTCATTATAGATTCTTCATGGAGAACAATACTTGGAGGTTTTTAAACGTATTCCAACAGAAGGCAAAATTGAGTCACGTTTTCGTTTGCAAGATGTTCTCGATAAGGGAAAAGGAGCTGTGGTTTTAATTGAACGTAAATAAATGGATTTTTTTTTTTCAAATAAAAGTAGATTTTTGTCAAAGTAATGAATTATATATTCTATAAGATTCTATGACAAAAAAAAAATTATTTTTTGCAGAGGAAACTTATGACATGGAAAGTGGAGAGAAATTAGCGAAACTTCAAATGTCTGTATTTATTGTCGGAGCTGGTGGTTTTAATGGACCACGAAATTCATCTCATATTATTCCAACTCTTGAACATCCAAAACGTAAGCCCGACATGTCAGTTCAACAAAAAACCAATGTTGATCAGGTAAAAATATTTTATTCTTTTTTTTTTAAAAAATCTATTTGTTAAGTTTTTATTAATCAAATTGTACTTATTAGAGTTAGAATTAATATTTTAAACTAACCAAGAGTTTAATAGTTTTCTTTGCTTATTGTAAAGTTTTTTTAGAAAAAAATAAATGTCACTCGATGTTTATATTAAACTTGATTGATATCAAGGTTTATCTTGTATAGAATGTTATAAATAATTATGAAATGTTAAAGATCAATACTAATATAGAAATATGTTGTCATTATTATTAAAATAAATTGATATAAAAATATTGTAATCTTACAGGCTGCACTGTACAGATTATGTGGCGATTATAATCCACTTCATATTGATCCTATGATCGCTAGTTTGGGCGGTTATTCGCAACCTATTTTGCATGGATTGTGCTCACTTGGATTCTCGACACGCCACGTGCTTCATACTTATGCTGGCGGTGATTCAGATTTATTCAAAGCTATCAAGGTAATGTTTTTCTTATCTCATTATAACTATTTGCAACTATTTTCAATTATTCAATATAAATATCGAAGTAAATTAATAAAAAAAGGAACTTAAAATAAATAATAAGAGTTAAATTGATAAATAGAAATTAAAATTAAGAAAATAAATCAAATCATAATAATTTAACATTATTATTAAATTTAATTGTTAATTAAAATAAATCAATTATTATTAATTGAGATCCAAAACCAGAAGAAGAGTTAAACGGTATTCAAGTTTGTGAATTAAATTTTGATTAACAAAATTCCGAATTTATTTTTAATTGATATTAATTTATTTATTTATAAATTATTATTTATGTTATTTATTTATATTTTTCATACAATATAATAATAAAATAATAATATGAGTTGAAGGAATAAATTGTGGATTTTTATAACAATCACATGTTTACCTGAATTATAATATTGAACTTTGACTTATATTTAAAATATGAAATTTTTTTATATGTAAATAAATGACAAAAAATTATCGATGTCGGCATTACGCCATTGATAGTACATATTACGTAATATATAATGGACACGAAGTAGAATAGTAGTGGTTAGTAAAGAATCAATGAATGATATAGCAAAAAGACAGAGAATTTTGTTGAGTCAGTTCGTTTTTTTTTCTCTTTAAATAATCTTTGATTTAGCCTCTTATTGGTTTATTAGTAGTTTTAATTAATTTTAATTGTTATAGGTAAGATTTTCAAAGCCTGTTTTACCAGGACAAACATTACGTACTGATATGTGGCAAGAAGGAAACAGAATTCATTTTGAAACAACAGTAGTTGAAACTGAAACTCCGGTCATTACAGGTCGGGTGAATATTTTAATTATTTTAATATTTAATTATTTTATCAACTATTTTATTTCGCTTTGATAATTTAATACTTATTTTTAAATCATTGGATGACTATTATTTTTTGTAATATATTAAACAATCCAGAAATATTTACATACATTAATATTTAATTAACAATGATTATATTATAATAATTTAAATATAGTGTACTATATTTAAATTTTGTATTTTTTATTATATTAAACATATTAAAATTTTATAATTTTTTTAAGAAAATTTCAATACTGCAAACATAACCTCAAACTAAAAACACTTTTGAGCAAAACATTAAAAACAATAATAATTAGGCAATTTCTATATGTTTTAAAAGAGTCAGTAATGCAATTTTGAAAAATTCTAGCTACAATTTTGTTTGTTGAATTTTTTTTTAATTAATTTATTGAATCTCCTTAAATTATATAAATTTAATTTAAAAAAATATATTATTTATAAAAATTAATAATATTTCTCGAACGTAAAAGATTAAATAATAAATTGAATTTTAATTTATTTTAATAATGTTAGGTGCTTATATTGACTTGAAACAAGTTCAACAGCCAACAGTCATGAAGAATTTGTGCTCGGGAAAAATAAATCTCGAAAGCGATGGAGTTTTCGAACAAATTAATGATTACGTCAAGTCACACACTGAAGAAGTTAAAAAAATAAACGGAATATTTTACTATGTGGTGACATCGAAAGGCGAGCCAACAGCCCACTGGAGTAAGTATTCCCAAAATATCGAAAAAAAATAATAATATGAGAATAATTGTATTTTTCAATATTATCATTTTATAGTTAAATATTTTAATAAAATTCCATAATTAGTTTTTTTTAAAGTGAAATTTTTCAATTAGAAAAATTAAATTACTTAAAAACCAAATATTAAAATGAGAAAATTTTTTTTTCACAGCTATTGATTTGAAAAAAGGAGAAGTATATAGAGGTGAACCCAAAACAAAAGCGGATACTACTCTCACTATAGATGATAAAGATATGATTCAAATGGTATATTTTTTTATTATATCAAGAGAATTTTTTTTCACTAGCTCTCTTATTGATATTATTATTATTATTTTTTTCACAGGCTCTTGGAAAATTAAATCCTCAAGTTGCATTCATGCAGGGAAAGCTCAAAATCAAAGGCAATATTATGCTGACTCAGAAATTGAAAACTTTACTCGATGCCAATCGACCAAAATTGTAAATTTATTTAAGTTCTGCCTCTTTTGAATATATATATATATATATATATATATATATATATATATATATTTGTACTATATATGTAAGTATCTACAAAATAATATGCCGATAACATTTTATATTCTTCGATTTAAATTTGAAATTTATAAAAAAAAAAACATCAGCTAAAGGATGAGTGCAAAAGGGTCGTATTTTTCAACAGAATTTTTTTTTTCTTCGTATTTATTATTTTTTGTTTAATTTAACAAAATTGGGTAGACAATTTACAGGATTATGTCTTTGAATTCAAATTTTTCACTACTGACGGAAAATATTTGTTTCTCGTAAAAATTTTGTAGCGGGCAATTGAAATTTAAATATTTTTTATTGCCTTTCTTTTTCTATAATTAAGTGTTTGTGAAAAATATCAAATTATTATGCCCTTGACTTTAGATATTAATTTTAACCAAGGGCTAACTTGTTACTAGATAATATTTCTCCCTTCTATTGTGAATAGAATGTTTATGAAAAATATTATGATTATAGAACTACGGAATAATGAAAATTTGCCTATTGACACTTGTCCTTTAGTTTTATAATAAAAGAAAAATAAGAAATTATAGAAATCAATTTATGAATGAATAATCAAGAATATAAGTTATCAAATGTTCGAATTATATTAATTGTTTATTAGGGTTTTAAAGCATTTATAACGGGAAATTTTTATACACAATGAAATAAAAGAAGATTTATAATATATACATATAAAAACTTTTTTTTTATTATTCTTATATAAATACAAAAAATTAAGAAATAATAGTGAATATCCTTTAATTCCATTGTTCATTATTATAAATTGTAATTCATTATTTTTTTAAAATAAATTTAAAAAAAAAATTGTCAGGATTTAGTTTTTGACATTAAATTCGTTAAATTAAAAAACTTAAATAATTTTAATCGCATTCCGAGGATTAGGCAATTTCATTTAATTAAAGCGCATTAATTAATTCATGTTTAAAATGATTATTATATGGGGATTAAGTTACTTATAAATCTTCTATAAAGTGAATTTTAAAGAATGAAATAACTAGAAATTAAATTAGTAAAGAAAAAAAAATGGATATATTATATAAATATTCCTGGGCATATTTTGACCAGGGTGAATTCAGGCTTCGTTCTGTTGGTAAAATCAGTCGCTAATTACGCAAAGCGTTCGAGCGTATTGCGTTGCAGTGCTAAAGGTACACCATCCGCGTAAGTTTTGTTTTCTCTCTTCTTTAAAATTACCCACAAAATCTCTCGCTCTTTCTCATATATATTTATATGTACATAAATAAATACACGCACTCATACATAAATTGTGTATTCTTTTGTAGAATTAACACGCATAAAAAAAAATGCGCGCGTCATATTACATGCTTGCTGAACTTGCTTCAATTACTTTAATCCCCTCTAGACCAATTGCTGATTAGAAGGATTTATACCGCTTACGGGTTGCTCTTTCAAAACTATGCAGAGAATTTAACAAAAAAAAATTTTTGTTTTGAATTTCAAAAAAAAAAAAGTAAAGACAATAATATTAATATGACAAACAATAAATAATTTTCTAATGTTATATGTAGCTAAAAATGATCTATTTTTATAGAAACTGTTTTATTTAAAACATACTCGAATATATTTGCAAATATTGGTTGATTTAATTATTTTCTTTGTCATTTTTAATTGGCAATTATAATAATTAAATGAAAATTAATTACGATAAATTTAATTAAATTTAATTTAATGAAGCTTCAGCGAAAATATTTTGGAATTATTTCCTAAATTATATACTGTAACTATATTATTGTGTCATTTATTATTATTTTCGTTTTCTTTTCTTGTAGGGAATGCAATTTATTTTTATATCACACTTTTTTTTACATTATATCTTTATAATAATTATAAAATTTGACATTATTTTCAGTAAATTTAATTTTTGTTAGGGAGATTGATAATATTATTGTCATAAAATTTCGATAAACTAAAATTGAAGATTTTTTTTTATTAAATACTTTATATATGAGTGAAATAATATTTAAATTATAAATTTATCGACGTGATTTAGGAATTATTTTAAACCTACATTTCAAGCTATTTGTTTACATATTGAAGAACAAGGGATATAAACTTAAGGCTGAGGTCAAAACAATGGGTATTTAGATGAAAAATCCCAAAAATAATATTCAATCAGTTGAAATTCGTGTATTGACCTGTTAAGACGTGATGAACGTCAGTGTAAATTTTTTAATTTTAAAAGAAAAATATCTGTTAAACGTAGTATGTTTTTTCATTTTTGTTTATTTTATATATTTACATTTTAAATTAGTGAATAGCTTCGCGAGAGCTATAGTGTTCGAATAATTCGTAAACGAACACATTTTAAGAGTTTTAAGGTTATGTAATTTGTCAAAAACTTATTTTTAAACAATTTCATATATTGAAGGAAAATTTAATATGTCGACAATACAATTTTTTGTAATTTCCACAAATATTCAATATTCCATGAATGTCATCGAGGAATATTCCCTCAATGTCACTGGAATATACCCTGAATGTCACTATGGAATATTCACATAATGCGGACATTTTGATTTTCCTAGAAGATCATGAGAATATTCCACTGTATGGTATTCAACGGATATTCAGGGAATATACCGTGCTGCTTGAGTTGTGGTTACTATTTTATTAGTTGGTTTAACTAATTAGTTTGTTGGAATAACTATTTAATTAGTTATCTTACTAACTAAATGATTAGGCTGACTAACTAAATGGTAACAGTAACTAATATAAATTAGTAAAAATACTCTTACAAACCAAATGGTAATTGCAACCAATCGTTTCTCTCAGTGTATAATATACCTAAAAACTATTAGGTGAATGGTAAACAGATTTTAGGTTATGTTTTTGATTTGTGAAATGAAAATACACAAAACGAATCAACCCAAAAAGCACGTAAGCTTGCAGAAACCTTGCCGCTCAATATTGCCAACCTTACACGTCAAACTTGCCACAAGTTTACTGCAAGCTTCAAATGTCCTAACCTCTCGGTCAAGTGGGACATTCGAAGCTTGCGACAAATTTGCCGTAATATTGCTCAGTATTAAGCTTGCCACAAGTGTGCTGCAAGCTTACATGCTATCTGGGAACTCTTAATATAAAACATTTGTGACGCTCTGCGACAAAAGGTACCTTAGTTTCTAAAAAGTTTAGGTTATGTTTTAGTGATTTAGCTCAATAAAAATTTTTTTTTTTAATAGGAAAAATGAAAAATATAGATGATTTTATTGAATATTTTGGATGTAATGTAGATTTATACACATCAATGGTTTATAGATAAAGTATATAGTTATATGATCCTCTTTGTGTATTTTCAGTCAAAGTAAAACTATCACTAAACATAACCTATGAAATTTCTCTACCATAAGGTCCCTTTTCTCGTAGAGCGTCACATATGGGCCCTATATATAGACTGCCAAGAGGTTAAAAAATGCCATTGAAGAATATGGCTTATTCTAAATACACGAACGATTTTATATGACAATGGAAAAAAATGATAGCAATATATAGAGGTATAAACTGGTGCGCACATTATAAATATCTTATAATGAAGCATTATTGGATTTAAATGAATTGGCATATTCGCCGGATTAAAAGAGCCCATCAGAGGCTACGTGAATATAGTGATATTATTTTTGGAAAGAACAACGAGTTTTCATCCACAGCGAGAGAGAGAGAGAGAGAGAGAGAGAGAGAGAGAGAGTATGAGGCATACTTAAATTACCTTATATAGGAACCTATACGTGGCATATAAGCATTGTGAACTCAAGGGATTGTCTCCCAGACACCTCATACTGGCACATGCTTTATTGCAGAAGTAGAAGCCGAGGGGAGAATTGGGACCTTTATTAGGTAGATAAGCGAGAGATTCGAGTGCGTATATAGGCGCCCATCCACATCGAGCTACCTCGTTTTACTCACTTCAATGCCTAATGGAATTGAGTTCTTGTAAGCGCCCACCCCTCCTCCCACCAGCATCCGCCCGTCCCTTCCAGCAATGAGAGAGGAGAACACGAAATAATTGGTATTTTGTCTCGCCGAATCCTTTGTCACCTAGAGTTTTAATTGACTTCGAGATTTTTTTTCAGTATACTAATTTGCTTCCATTCTATTCTCTCTCTCTATATATATCAAATTATTATATTCGCTCTACTTCGATTCTCTTCGAATAAACATTGGATCTCAATTTTCATTCCGTGTTGATCATTTTTTACGATCATTTTTTTCTATTATTCATATCTGTTTCATCTTCCGTGCAGAAATTTGCTAATCTGTCCCTAACTTGGATGATATAGGAATAACCCCGACCGCACAGCTAAAAATTCCTGTACAGGATCCCTAGAGGTTCCTACATAGGATCCTTAAAGGTTCCCTGAGAGATTCTGTTAAGAATCCTATACGCAGAATCCCACTAGGATCCTTTGCAGAATATTGAAACAGGGTTCCTGTACAAGATCTCCTGTAATCAGTGAAATTTTCACTGATTCAGATTTAGAGTGTAAAAATACATGAAGAAACAGGATTTGTTATAAATCTAATAACAGTATTGTTAATAAATAAAACTAACAAATTTGGTTTGTCGTGAAAACAAATTTTCATAATAATTTCAAACGAAAAATAAGTTGCTCAACAAACCATATTTGTTAGTTTTATAATAATAATCCAATTGTCAGTGTCCTACCAGGGCCTGTTTAAAATTTTTGTTGAAATTTTTTCTTGTGATAAACTATAAATTCATTGTTTCACTATATTTTAATATATCTATTATAGTCGTATTTTTATTTTTTGTTTAAAAGCTTCAAAATTCCCGCCTTTTTACAATTCTTATTATAATTATATAAATAAAATTAATTTTCTCAAGTATTTGTAAGATTCAGTTGTAACAATTTTCAAAATAAATTATTTTGCTCAAAAATTTGTTGTTAATTAATTAATTACAGTAAAACCCCGTTTATCCGAGCTCGCTTTATCCGAGGTCTCGATTATTATCCGAGTTATTTTTAATTTTAGTTTTTTATAAATATGAGTTTATTTTTAATAAATTCAAATTGTTTAAATTATTATGAAATATATACAATATTATTTTCCTGTTTGTAATAAATAATAGTTGTTTAAACAATAATAATGTTAAATTGTAATAACAATTCGGATTATCCGTGTTTTCGCCTTATCCGAGGTAGGTACGGTCCACATTAGCTCGGATAACCGGAGTTCTATACTGTATTTCACTTTTTATATTATTTGTTTAAAGTTGGTGAACAATTGTATACACAGAAAATTAAAAGGCATTAAAATAATAAGTGTTGCAGCTTATTTTTATACCTTAAAATTTTCTGTGTAATTTTTATGCAATTTTTACAAACAATAGCTTAAAACAATAGGTTTTATATTTCAGAATTGTAGAGAATCTTTCAAAGAGAAGAAAGAATAAAAGAAAAAATAAAAAAATGTTAAATAATTCTTATTTGGAAATTATAATTTTGACTCAAAATATATACTTTTTTTTTGAAAATTGTACAATTAAATCTTTCAAAATATGATGTAGGAGAGACCGGGGTTACTTGGCGCACTTTTTACTCTTTGTTGTGTAACTCACTCATTTTTGCTTTTTTAAAAAAGTTAATGTATCAATAACGCTGCGTGAATATTTAAAAACCATTATT